CGTAATAAGGCTACACCCGGAAATCCTTCTCAAACGAATCGGTAGAATACGACGACGTCGTCTGCGCGTCCGCCGGCAGCGGAATACTAATCTTGGTCGCATCAAACTCCCACGCGGCCTCGCGCGCCTCGCGCGAATTGCGGAGGTAGAACGGCAGCGTCCACTCCTTCAGCCGGCTCTCGAGGTACCCCAGGTCGCGGTTCTTCTCCCACATGCGGCGCGACGCCTTGAACGCCGAGGTAACGGTGTCGCGGCGGAGGTCCTCGTACGCCTTGAAGGCGACGTGGAGATGCTCGTGGCGGTGTTTGGCGAGGATGCGGGAGAAGAGGATCGCGTCGTCGAGGGCGTATGCGGCGGATTCGTCGCGGGGGGGCATCTATCATCGTTAGCAATTTTTCCATAACATGGTGTTTGTTGGGGGCGAGGGACGGGTGCATACAGCATGAGCAGCATCCCCGAGCAACAGCACGCGCTCGGTGTGCCACCGGCCTCCCGGCCGCACCTGGTACACCGGGTAGAGCATCCAGTCGGCCGGTGTGGAGGTCATCTCGCGGACGCAGGGGATCCCGGAGCGACCGAAGCGCTGCCGCATCTCATCGCGAAGCGCACTTTTGATGGCAGACTTGGTGCGCCACTCTTGGGCGTTGTCAAGCCGGTATTCCGATAGACGGTTTTCCGGGAACTGGACGATGGCGGAGAGGAAGATCTGCGAGCGGTCGCGGTCGCAGTAGCTGGCGAGGAGGGAGCCGTAGCGGGAGACGTTCATGGAGGTGGCGGCGAAGTGGACGGGGGCGTCGAGGGCGTCGGCGTCGATGACGGTCTGCACGAACGAGATGCCCGTGTACTCGGAGGGGTTGTCGGGGGCGACGAACTGCGAGCGGGTTGCGGAGTGGACGCCATCACAGCCGAGTACGAGGTCGCCCGTGGCCGACGAGCCATCCGCGAAATGCAGGGTGGCGTGATCGGCGGACTCGTCGACGCGGACGAGCTTCTTGCCGAAGGCGAGGTGGACATTCTTGGTGCGCTCGACGACGGCCAGCATCGCCAGCGAGAGGATGATACGCATGACGCGGCGGCCCTTGTAGCCGCCGAAGCCGTTGCCGTGGTGGTCGGTGAAGTCGATGGAGCCGAGCGACTTGCCGGAGCGCGTGGAGTATAGCTCAATGGCGTCGACGTCGGCGCCGCCCTCCGAGCCGAGGCGGTTGAGCTCGTCGAGCACGCCGAGGCGGTCGAGGTGCCGCTGGGCGACGGGGGTGAGGTTGATGGCGCCGCCGCTGGTGGAGAGCACGTCGTGGCGTTCGAAGATGGTGATCTGGAGGTCGGGCACGAAGGGGGTGAGTTCTTTGGCGAGGGAGAGGGCACAGGCAATGCCGGCAATGCCTGCGCCGACGATGAGGATGTTGTGCGGGGCCATGAGGGAGGTCAGCGAGCGGTGGCAACCGTCACTGTCCGGGGCATTCGTGAACCAGTTGGCAGCTGCTGGCGGCGGCGTTTCGTAGGCGACGTCCATGGTGGAATGGAGGTGGTGGTGTCGTGATGGAGAAGAGATTGTCCGTACCCATGCGGAACAGCAGCAAGGACATCGATGTTAGATATACTTTGCGGGGAGCGAATTGAGCGTCGACAATGAGACCGTGTGGCTTTTGGACTGGTAGCGTACAGGTACGAGGCAGCCGACGGAACCACGGATGTCGTATAGGCAATATATGACACTTTGCGAGCAGTCACATCCACCGGGATGCAAGCCTATCAGAAAGTTATGCGCCAACTCGGCCGGAATGGAGAGGCTTCGGGGAAGGCAGAGTCAATAAGGATGATGGGAAAATTTTCTGCAGGCCCATCCACCCTATTACTCCTGGCGCACAATAGGCACAACGAACTATACATCATGGCCGGGATTTGGGCTCCACCGGGCCCTCCGAGGACTCCCCGACTAGCGGTGTCATAGGCCGGACATACACGGCTGTGATGGACTAGTTGACCCTCTAGATTGATTCCGTCCGCCGTTGGAGCCACCTCGGCACTAGACCCGTGGAACCCGTCCCTTTGGCCGCAAAAGTACATACTCCGTGTGTAGGGGAGAGTGGGAACGTCAGACACATCCTGTCGCTGTGTTTGGAGGGAGTAGTGTTCGATGGAGAGAAGACCGCCTGACAGAAGAAAGGAAGAAGAAAATAAAGTAAAGGAGAGTAGATGTCGAAGTGTGTACAATAGGATATGTCGATGTTAGGGCTTCGCAGGCGACAGCGCTGAGTCAGCGGCGCCTTTCCCAAAACAGCCACGTCGCCGGGTTCTCCCTCCGCCATTATATTATTAGTTGCTGCATTATTGCAGTGTCGAATCCTTCGCGAACACCAGATGCATAATCCCTCTGTCTGGTTGAGACTACCCTGTGCCACCGCATCGGCTTAATCCGTAAGTATATCCACTGTCCCCTTCTCCATCTGACAGAAGGGTCATCCGCACCATGGAACGCAGTCCCTTTCGACCGGTTCCTCGCATCGTCGATTCTTCCAGAACGCAGTCATGACATATGCTTGGCGCAGCATGGTCAGCACGCGGCAAACCGGTTTCATCTCGCAGTCAGCACATGGCTTCAGGGGGAGGATAGACATTGTAGCGTGTCGCGTCCGGAGTAGATCGCAATCAACAGATGGAGATCTTGTCACATCGAGCGCACTGTCCCATCCGCTAGTGCCCGGGCTGGTCGATGATCCATCCTATAATTAGCGGCAGTCTAGATCTCGGGAAGACAAAGGGCGCACAATCGCATCTTGCCTCCTGAACCTTCTTCTCTTTCTGGAGAAGACAGATTGCCAAGGAATCGTGTCTTTGCCAGAAGCATGGTGGTTCGATCTAGATCTGGCCAGGTCGAAGAGGATTATCGACTGGTAACTCAAAGTCTAATAGGTACTGGGCGGTGATTCTCCATAATATGCCACGGAACGCTTCATTCCCCGCAACCGTTGCGACAGGACGATCCGATCGGCAGTCTGACGCATGCTCGAATGTAGCATCATAATCAGTCGTGAATTATACTTCTTTCAGCTACTGTAGATCTGTGGCTTCTGATGTATCTATGACTAGATAACACCCAGACTGCTTAAAGTTATCCGGTAGACGACTCATCCACTCACAGTTATTTGACTTCTGAGCTGCAGTGGAGGCTAGACCGTTCACAACAAACATATACAAATTTCGTCAGATTCACTCATAATCTCATAATCATCAACCAAAATAACAGAACACAGTCCCTGTATCTTTACATCAAAGTCTCCGTGTGTGTCACAATCCGCCACTCCCCATCCGACGCCTGACTCCAGGTCGTCGACCCAGTCCCGACATACGACTCGTCTCCGCGCGTCGCATTAATCTTGTAGGTCACCGTGCCCGCCATCAAGTCGATGACAATCACCCGCACCTCCTCCAGCTGGAACTGGTCGAAATGGTGGAACGGCGGCCGCAGCTCCTTGGACAGGGACGGCTCTCCGTCGAGCGTCAGGACGGGCTTGCCGGGGAAGAGAAAGTTGGCTTCCGGGTTGGACAGCCGTTCGATCTCGGGGCCGGGGTTGGCCGAGGTCAGGGCGGTCCAGAGCGAGCGTTCCTTGATCAGGAGGTCGTCGCGGATGCGATCGTGGATTTGCGGCATGGCTGGGGGGGTTAGAATCTGCCTACTCATGGATGGAGTGGGAGTAGCTTACCTGGAAGTAACTGTTTTTCGAAGGAGGGTCTTTTGAAGTATTGTTTATGCAGTAGACTTGGGGTCGAGAGGTGCATCCATGGATATTAAAGGGGACGGTAGACATGACGTCATGGGGAGGTGCATGGCGAGATGACGTGGAGGGCAACCTCGTGGAGGGAAATTAATCTATCATGCTGCTGTCATTTCCTTGGATCTCGCTGGGATCGCCACGCCAAGCTGTCAGGCCAGTCATCTGTCTGTCTATCGGAGGACAGAGTCATGCATCTGGTGGACAGGGTGAGTGGCAGAGCATCGTTGGTTGGATTCGCAAAGGTGTACATTGATGCACAGAGTAGATCACTCCCTCCTTGCATAAGCTACCTGACTGGGGGGCTAAGACGAGTTGGTAAATGACTAGTCCATATATGGTGTCACGTCTGGGGTCATGTTGATGATTAGTTACTTCTTATTATTTATCTCATGGCGACCGATAGATCACGTGGTTGCCCCTGGAGATAAACAGATCTAGATGAGATAAGATTGCAATTAGGCTACCACGAAAGTTCTACATCGTGCTTAGAGACTCGATGGGTTTGTTGATTGCTGATTAGATAGGAGAAGTCGTCTTCGGTATCCTCCGACGAGTATTCGGCTGAGTCCCGCACTGTCAAGTACTAGTATCTACGGAGTAATTCTCCGGACTCCGTACTATCTAGGAACCGGCCGTTGATAGACAGATAAACAGCCAAGCTTTGTAGATGCTCTTGGTATACCAGAATGTAGTTCAACACTGATGTACAGAGTACACCATTCAACACCAACTAGTATACAGTACATTCTACTCTTCAGCTGTTTCATATAAATATGATATAACATGATCATTGGGCGGCGCCCTTGCAGTCCTACACGACACTATCGCATCCCTGCATCTATCTCTACCGATCCACCCTTTTCAGCTGCAGAATCCTCGGATCCAAACGGATTCCCTCCGATGCCCCATGCACAAAACCTCTTATCAGTTCAATTTACAATTGCAAAACTATAAATTGCGTCGCCCTCGCACGTATCCCAGGCCGAACTCCGTGAATATCGTGAACCTCCGCCATGCAGCTTCCCTCCCTCGCCTCGGCGCTGCTGTATGCCAGTGCCTGTCTCCTGCCCAGCGTCGCAGGAGACAGCACCAAGCACGCATCGCAGCACAAGATCGCGCCCAAGGTCTTCATTGTGTCAATGGTGAGTACCACCTCTTCTCCATCTTCCCCAAACAAACTAACCAAACCAGTTCGAGCCCGAAGCCGCAGTCTGGTGGGGGATCCCTGACTTCGACCTCCTCGCCCACAACATCACCGTCCCCGGCGCGTCGCCCTTGTTCCCAGACGTACACTGCACCGCCGACCACCACATCTGCCAGCTCGTCACCGGCGAGGGCGAGATCAACGCCGCCACCACCGTCGCCTCGGTCGTCTTCTCCTCGCTCTTCGACCTCACCCACACCTACTTCCTCATCGCCGGCATTGCCGGCATCAACCCGGAGGCCGGCACCCTCGCCGGCGTCGCCCTGTCCCGCTTCGCCGTCCAGGTCGCCCTGCAGTACGAGATCGACCTGCGCGAGCTGCCCGCCAACTTCTCCACCTCGTACTTCCCCCAGGGCGCCACCGCCCCCTTCCAGTACCCCGGCGACATCTACGGCACCGAGGTGTTCGAGGTGAACGCCGCGCTGCGCGGCCTCGCCGCCACCATGGCCCGCAAGGCGGAGCTGGCGGATTCGACCCTCGCAAAGGAGTATCGTCAGAAGTATGCCAGCGAGGCCCGGTACAGCGCGGCCACCGCGGCGCCTGCCGTGGTCGAGTGCGACGTCGCGACCAGCGACGTCTACTACAGCGGGAACCTGCTCAGCGGCGCGTTCGACAAGATCGTCGACGTCTGGACCAACGGCACGGGCCGCTACTGCACCACCGCGCAGGAGGATAATGCCACGCTGGAGGCGCTGGTGCGCGCGACCATGCACGGGAAGACGGATTTCGCGCGCGTTATCGTCATGCGCACCGGGTCTGACTTTGATCGCCCCCCGCCCGGCGTGCCGGCCCTGCAGCATCTCGTGTACAATGACCAGGGCGGGTATACGCCTGCCGTGGAGAATCTGTACCGCGCCGGGGTGGAGATCGTCAAGGGGATTCTGGACGGTTGGGAGGAGACGTTCGCGGCGGGCGTCAAGCCGAGCAACTACATCGGGGATATCTTTGGCAGTCTGGGCGGGAAGCCGGACTACGGCACCGTGCAGAAGCGGTCCACGCGGGGGAGATTCGCGAAGAGGGTTATCTAACGGTAGCATGTACATACATACATACATACATAGACAGCATCTCGCGGCTAGCCTAAAACAAATCCAACGGAACATAATCCGCCATCGCCTGGTACCCCGCCACACTCGGGTGCAGATAATCCCCCGAGTCATACTTCTTCGCCAGCTGCGCCGGGTTCTGCGGGTCGCGCACCACTTTGTCGAAATCCAGCACCGCATCAAACACCCCGCTGCTCCGGATCCACGCATTCACGCGCTGCCGCGTCTTTTCCCGCTCCGGATGCGAGTACGGCTGGATGCTCGCGTCCGCGGCCGGCGCACTGAACGGCGTGATCGTCGCGCCGTACACCGGGATGCCGGCGGCGTGGATGCGCGTGACGATCTGCTGGTACGCGACGATGAGGCGGTCGCCGATGTCCTGCTGCGCGGCGGGGGTGGGCGCCGCGACGCCGATGTCGTTGACGCCCTCGTAGAGGATGGCGTACTGCACGTCGGTCTGGGCCAGCACGTCGCGGTCGATGCGGCTCAGCGTGTTCGGGCCGAGCCCGTCGGCGAGGATGCGGTTGCCGCCGGCGGCCTGGTTGAGGAGCGCGATGGAGGCGGTTGATGGGTGTTTCTGCATGCGCTGCAGGAGGAGGTCGGGCCAGCGGTTGTTTTGGTTGGTCGTGCTGCCGCGGCCGTCGGTGATGCTGTCGCCGATGAGGGCGCAGCTGCGTGTGCGGGCGGGCGAGATGGCTTCCACGCCGCTGAGGAAGTACCTGCTTGAGTTCAGTATGTTGTGTGTGGGGGGGAGGAGTGCGACAGGATGCGTACCAGTGGTCGGTGCTCAGGACGGACGAGTCGGTCATGTTCGCGGCGCCGACCCAGTCGCCGAAGCTCAGCCAGGAGGTCGTCCGGCTGCCCGGGTGGCCGGTGATGGCGCCGCCGGTCTGGCCCTGCGCCAGATATATGTCGACGGTGACGGTCTGCAGGGTCTTCACGGGGAAGTCGATGGGATCCGACACCGCCAGCGCGCCCTTCGGGATGATAATGTCGGGGTTGCCGCTGAACGACACGGACTTGGTGGACCCGTGCTCAATGGCGCTGGTCCCGAGCTGGTCGTCCACGGGGAGAGAGATGGCGACGTTTGTGACGGACAGGTCCGTCAGTCCGAACGTGTTGGAGACACGCAGACGGATCTGCTGCGCGGGCTGGGTGACACGGAAGGTCTGACGGAGGGTTGTGTTCTTGAAGACGGAGTCGGAGGCATTCTATGTATATTAGCTTGTCGTCCATGCGGCCATGCCTTCTCGATCGTGGTCATACATATGGAGCTGGGGGCAGGTTGTACGGCTCTACCAGCTGGGGCATGGTCGCCCATGTGCTGACCCAGTGTGCATTGCGATTGCCGCGAGTTGTTAGATCAGAGCCCGTCGGATACGACCAGGCTGTCTGGATATAGAAGAGCAGAGCGATGAATTGGTACAAAAGGGTCATCTTGGGTAGATCTGCACCATTGGCGTGTCTCGTTGGTGACAACAGGACCCCCGGCGTATAAATATGCCCCTCCGCACGCCTGAAAGCTTGGGACTGAGCTTCTCCAGCCTGCAGAATCGGCTAAACGGGTAAACGGTTGTTCTTCCGTTTGGGGAGAGGAATCTCCGCATATTCGAAGGAGTCTGGGGTAATACGGGGTTTCAAAGGAATGAGGTAGCTAAGGTAGATTAAGCAAATAATCGTTGTTTAATTAATGCCATAGAAACAGGCTATATGGTGATGTTGAATAGAGATATATTAACCGCTATACTCCCCCGGAGAGTTACCACATCTGTTCCTGGATGAAACTAATATGAATCTCAACTCGATCCTATCTCATCTTTCAGATTCTCCCGAATGCCGTTGTACTGTCTTGCACTGGCTGACACTAGATGTGGATAGCCATGATCTACTCTTATGCAACATGCAATGCGATGACAGCATAACGCCGTTAACCCCGAGGCCAGAAGATATAACATCAACATGAACCCCAAGTCCCCTAGGCATCACGCATCCACTGCAAACTGAATCTATCCAACATGACCGTCCTACAGCCCCAAAAAACAGCCCTGATTACTGGCGCAGCGTCCGGCGTCGGATTTGCGACCGCAAAGATCTGCCGTAGCCGCGGCATGCACCTGGCCCTGCTGGACATTGACGCCCCCAACCTCGAAAAGGCGAAACATGCGCTGGCCGCAATGGACCCTGCGCTCCAAACCGAAGCCTACGTCCTCGACGTGGGTGACCGGGAGAAATGGGGCGAGGTTGCGGCGCAGATCCGCGCGACTTTCTCCACGGTGGACCTGGTGATGCTCAACGCGGGGAAGGGATACAAGCCGCAGAGCAGTGCGCTCGAGGGGCGGGCGAAGCCCTGGGGGGATGTCGAGTACTGGAAGAAGGTCTGTTTGTGTTTGTGAAGCTATATCGAGGCTACCTCTGCTGATATTCTATGGCCAGACATTCGACACCAACGTGTTTGGCCCACTGAACGGACTGGAGGCCATCATCCCCCTCTTGCTGTCATCTACCACTCCCAAATCCATCGTCGTCACCGGCTCCAAGCAGGGCATCACTAACCCCCCTGGCGCCGGAAACCCGGCTTACAACGCCTCCAAGGCCGCCATCAAGAGTCTGACGGAGCATCTGGCACACGACCTGCGATCGGACCCAGCGACCGCGCATATCTCGGTGCATCTGCTTGTCCCTGGGTGGACGTGGACGGGCCTGATGGGGAATGTTGGGCCGACGGCGGAGAGCGAGGTGAAGAAGATGGCTGGGGCGTGGTATCCGAGTCAGGTTGCGGAGGAGCTGGTCAAGGGGCTTGAGAAGGGGTCGTTCTACATTATCTGCCCGGATGATGAGACTGATGTAGCGTTGGACCAGGCGCGGATGCAATGGGCGAGCGAGGATGTGATTGAGGGGCGGCCGGCCTTGTCGCGATGGGATGCAGAATGGAAAGGACGAGCGGAGGAGGCAATCCAAGCTGATGCTGCTCGACGGAGGGGGAAGAGTACCTAGGTAGCTAGGGGTATAGTTAATACATGAGGTCATGGCGGGAGTGGTGCGACCTTCCCGATTGGGACAGGACAGCCCTATTCTTCAACAAAAATCCATCTATATCTCGTTACTTTAAGGGTTTCTTCATGTTGGATGCAAGATAAGGTCGCTCTTTATAGGAAATTCTGCAGAAGATCTATCTATCTACCCCGAATACCAACAGACATTCGGTAAGATAAGACACGATGAATGTCACACCATCTCCGCATCCGTCGACACCATGCGGAGGCTAGCGTGGGGGTTTCATCGGCTGTCTGTCGCTTGGGACGGCCGATCGATGCGACGCTCCTATCGTCGTTACATACGGAGTATAATAACAATGATACTCTGGCTGTCCTGGCTTTCCGCGGGCGATAAAGCTGCCGTTGCTGCTCCTGCAGGGTCCATCCCCCTATATATCCCCCGATCCCGGTAACTATATACTCCTCCAACTCCTTGCATCTACACTCCTCCCCCTCACCTCTTCCCACTCCCCCCTCTCTTCTTCTCTTATCTCCTATACCTCCTCTTCCTCTCAGTAATGGCCTCGACCGACGCATCTCCTGCGGGGCTGTCCAAGTACGATACCTCCAAGTCCGCGGGTCGGGATTCTCTGCCAAACGACGACAAAGTCGCTTCCTATGCATCGACGCCGGGCGTACTCGACGATGTTGTCAGAGTCATCGACCACAAGGCCGAACGCCGCCTGTGTCGTCGGTTTGACGTGCGATTACTGCCAGTGCTGGCTATCATGTGTATGTCTCCCATCGAAGTATATTCGAAGTATATCGAGGAACAAACAAAACTAACAGAATAGACCTCTTCAATGCATTGGACAAAGGCAACCTCGGCAATGCAGAGACGGATGGCTTGTCAAAAGACCTCAATTTCAAACCCGGCCAATATAACCTCCTCCTCTCCATCTTCTTCGTCCCCTACGTGATCTTCGCGCCGCCCTTTGCCATGCTGGGAAAGAAGTTCAGTCCGGCCCGTGTGTTGCCCATCCTCATGTTCACCTTTGGCTCCTTTACCCTTCTCTCCGCTGCAACCAAGAACTTTGGCGGCATCTTCGCGCTGCGTTGGTTTCTGGGAATGGCTGAGTCCGGTTTCTTCCCTCTCGTCATCTACTACCTGACCACCTTCTACCGTCGAGGCGAGCTGGCTCGTCGTCTGGCCATCTTCTACGCCGCTTCGAACATTGCCAACGCCTTCTCGGGCCTGATCGCTTTCGGCGTCTTCCAAATCAAGGGCTCCAGCATCCCGACCTGGCGCTACCTGTTCATCATCGAGGGCGGCGTTACCGTCATCTTTGCCGTCTTCGCCTTCTTCTACCTGCCGCGCAGCGCCGCGGAGGCCAAATTCCTCTCTCCGGAGGAGAAGGAGCTCGCCTTCCACCGGATTCAGGTCGACTCCAGTGCGGTGGTCAACGAGAAGTTTGTGTTCCGCGAAGCCCTTGGTATCTTCAAGCACCCCAGCACCTACGTCTTCCTCGGCATTGAATGCTGTCTGGGCGTTCCCATCCAGAGTGTCGCCCTCTTCATGCCGCAAATTATCCAGCGTCTCGGCTACGCCACCGTCAAGACCAACCTGTATACGGTCGCTCCCAACGTCACCGGGGCTGTGATGCTGCTCGTCCTGGCCTTCAGTTCCGATGCCGCCCGTCTGCGGTCTCCGTTCATCGTGCTCGGGTTCCTCTTGTCGTTCTGCGGCTTCATGATCTACCTGTCCATCACCGACATCAACTCGCAGATCCAGCTCGCGTACTTTTCAACCTTTATGATGACCTGGGGGACCTCTGCCCCGTCCGTGCTCCTCAGCACATGGTACAACAACAACATCGCCCACGAGGGCCGTCGTGTCCTGCTCACCAGTATCGGTGTGCCGCTGGCGAACCTGATGGGTCTCGTCGCGAGTAACGTTTTCCGCGAGCAGGACAAGCCGAAATACATGCCGGCGATTATCACGGTGGCCGCCTTTGGAGCCACAGGCGCTGTGCTGGCCGGATCCCTGGGCTTGTTCATGTGGCTCGACAATAAGCGGCGGAACCGCAGGGCCGGCGTCAGCGTGAAGGCGCAGGATGTGCCCACGGAGCGGCTGCGCGACGGGCCTGCCAGCCCCGAGTTCCGCTGGTTTCTATAATGTAACCGACGTAGCATAGCATTACGAAATGAATGACCGTTTCCCGTGAATCAACTCAACCCCGGAGTAAGTGGATAATGGGATATCCACCCCCACTTTGTTTCCCGACTCCCTCTATCTCTCCCTCTCCCTCTCCACTTCTCCGCATCCAACGTGGGGGTCTGCCCCGGATTTGCGTTGAGAAGCTGTGATGTTGACTGGCAGCCAAGATACCGAGCCTGCTATGGATGTTCACGTCTTGGGCGTGCAGATGCTACGGTTGTACCGCGCAGACGGGACAGTAACTCCAGAATCCCTGCTAGTATTGGCCAAGAAGAGCATCACGGAAGAGGCGAAGTCGAAGGATTTAGTCCTGTGCTAGCGCTGAGCTAGGTGGCCTGGGACGTGGGATGTCCTCGGCACATATTGACATGACACTTGGTTATACTGATCCCCCTGAGCTTGCTGCTCGGCTGGGGTATATACTTCAGGGACCGTGGTCCACCGTGATGTCATACCGCTCTACCACTTATGTTATCCCGGAGTCTATCCGAACCTGCCTGCAGGGCATATGGATAGATGACATGCCACCCGGTACATCCGGGCCTCGTCACTGAAAACCCGACAATGCACCACTGCTCGCACTCCAACAATCCCAATATCTCCAAAATGCTCCAATGGCCAACAACCTGTACCAATACTCCATCGTGAGCGCCCTGATGCACGGCATCTGCAGCACAGGGCCCAGCATCCGCGACATCCTCGCCCACGGCGACCATGGCCTCGGCACCGTCCCCCATCTCAACGGCGAGATCATCATCATCGACGGCGAGGCCTACCACTTCCCGCCAGACAGCCCGGAGCTCCGCAAGCTCGCGCCCACAGACCCCATCCCCTTCATCATGATCACCCGCTTCGAGCCCACCGTCACCAAGCACCTCCCCACACTCACCATGACCGCCCTGGCTGACGCCTGCGCGCCGCTTCTCCCAGCTCAGCAGAACCGCTTCGTGTCCGTGCGCCTCGAGGCCGTCTTCCCGCGCATCTCGTTCCGCGTGATCCCCGCGCAGACGAGACCGAAGGAGCCCCTTGCGGCCCTGGCCAAGCGCCAGACCGTCCGCGAGGAGACGCACGTCCGCGGCGTGCTGTTCGGGTTCTGGTCGCCCGCGTTCGCCAGTGGGTTCAGCGTCGCCGGGTTCCATTTGCATTTTCTCTCGGCCGATCGCAGCGCCGGCGGTCATGTCATGGGCTTCGAGGCCGAGGATGTGCGTCTGGCTGCGGCCGGCATCGGCGAGTACCACGTCCAGCTGCCGGATGACCGCGAGTTTAATGAAGAGACTATCGGGCTGGTTGGAGCCGGGGATATTCATGCGGCCGAGGGGGCTTGATTATGGTTCTTGTAGATAATGATTGGCGAGAATTCCTTTCGCTGGATCTGTCCAGAGCCTTTCTTCCGTCACGATTACTGCCCGCAAGCCGAGTATGAGTCGTCCTGTCGTAATGTCTTAGCAGAGTTTTCGACTTGAATGGGTCTGACACCTCTTTTGCTCACTATCCTCTATTCTGCGTCCACCTTCAGCTGAAGTTTCTCTATTATCTCTGCCACGTCTACGCTCCATCTACCGTCTTCCTCTCCTCAGTCAATGACTCTCCGTCCTCAAACGGGCGAAATGAGTCCCACAGCCACCCCCGGGTCCTCCGACGCTGGAGAGCAGTCTGCCCCCAGCAGCCGCATCGACCAGGGCGAAAAGAGACAACAGCCGTCCACAGAGGGAAGGGTCAGAAATGCCGACCATGATGCCAGAATACAAGAGATTCTAAAGCAACAACAAGAGAGGAGGAGGTGCATGGCGGAGCAAATGCGGTCGGGAACGTCAGATCCTTCATCCCAGAGCGATCCCACTATTATCGTTCCTTTTCCCTCTGCTGAACGTCAGGATAAGCCGGATCCACCCGCTGCTGGTTCTTCTGAGTCTAATATGCGCGGCGCAGAGCCTCCTCAACGGGACGATCTGATTGTTCTGATGGAGCAAGCGGCACCACTTGACATGAAATTGCAGAACGTGATGCGACGAGCTAATGACTCCGCCGAGACGGTCCGTAAGCTCTTTGCTGAACTGGAGAAGACGCGTCGTGCTCGTCCACCGCGGCGCGATAATGTCGAGAAGGAGTACCGCGCGTGCTGGTAGTGGTGCTGGTGCTGGTGCTCGCGATAGTGCCAAACAGGAGAATACCGAGCGTCCTTGTGTGCCTGCCCGCGATAACAAGGCCGATAGTCATGCTGCTGCATTTGTCGGGGTCGTCATCTACTATCTGCTCATGCTGTTCGCGCTGTACTACATGCCGCAGGACGCGCCGAATGTTCTTGTCACGGCCGCCTCATGTTGTATCGTGCTGATCTTCCTGTCGCTGCCATTCGTGTTTGTGATGACTGCTCCCCAGCAACCCTAACCGGTTATCTTGAGTCTGTGCGTTCTACAATCCTGGCGGTCATTATTGCTTCTCGTACTTGATGTCAATGCCCACGATACATCAAACCATAGATAACGCCGTCTACATCAGACGCATGCTGTCAGATAAAAACATTCATCACCCCTCACAGCAGCCCTCAGCCTCGGGCTCCAACTCCGCCTCCATCTCCGCCTCCTTGCAATCAATATACTCCCTGACTCCCTCCTCATCAAGCCCATACGCAGTCCTCACCAGCGCGCGCGCAAACACCTCATCCCACACAGGCCCATCAACACCATGTCTCTCCATCATAAAGTACGCACGGGAGGCATCCGAGTCCAGCACCTCCGCAACCGACACCGCAAGCGGGGTCCCCTCCTCCCTCAGCGCCGCCTCCGCCTCCGCAAACTTACAACAATACAGCCGCTGCAACGCATGGATCCGGCTGTAGCCCACATGGGCCGGGTGATCCGGATCGCCCAGCGCAGCCGCCATATCGGCCGGGTCGTCCGCCGGCGGAAACGGGTACTGGTAGTGGTGCGCGGCCCACGGCGCGGTCTGCGCCATCTCCCAGTCGACGACGCCGACGATGTTGTACTCCGCGTCGACGAGCAGGTTCTGCGTGCCGATGTCCATGTGCAGCAGGGGGAACGGGCCCGCACGGTGCGCGCGGAATAGCGCAGACCGCCGGATGATGTCCAGATGCAGGAACGGCCCCAGCCGGTGGTAGCGGGCGTCCGCGTCCGCGTCCGCGTCCGGCAGCGGTGTCTTCTGCGCGTGCGCATACCGCCCCCGCGCCTCGGCGAGCAGGTACTCGACCGCGTCGTCGAACGGCCCGATGCGGCCGGCGTCGGTGGCGATGGCGCCGAGCGTCGGGCCCGTGGCCGGCGTGTAGGCGGCGACGGCGCCGATGCGCGGGAATGTGAGTGTAGCGAGGCGCGCCTGGATGCGCGTCCACTGCGCCAGTAGCCGGTGCAGCTGCGGCGCGGGCAGGTCGGCCAGGTCCGTCTCCAGGTCCATGAGACTGTTACCGCGCAGGCCCTCGAGGAGCATGTAGGCGGCGCCGGCGGCGTGCGCGCGGGGGGATTCCGGCGGCTCGTAGGCGTGCACGCGGGGTACAGGGATGTCGGTCGTGTCGCGGACGTAGGCCATGGTTGCGACTTCACAGGCGGCGCGGTAGTCGTGGTCCAGGGTGGCGTGCGGGTCGAGAGGAGGGAGGCGAACGCGCGCGATGACCAGCGTGCCGTCCGGGGCGACGAGCTCAAAGCAGCACCAGTATTGGCCTGCGGAGAAGGGTGTGCTCAGGGTGAGGGTCTTACCGATGAGGGTGGATGCGTGGCTCACGATCGCGGGCTTGTTGATGGCGGCGAGGAAGGCCTTCAGTCGGGGGCCCCAGTCGCCCCAGTTCCAGTTCTCGAAGGAGGTCCAACGTGCGCTGGGCAGTGCTTGCGTAGATTGGGACATTGCGTTGGGTTGTCGGAGAGCGAGGAAGGATCGAGGGATTGTTGTATCTGTCTTGGAAGGAGGGTAGGTGTGGATGTGCGGACTGGAGCGGGGCATAGTGTTTGCCTGCCAGTCGGTAGTGTTAATTTACAGAACAAAGAAAAGACATTATTGATGGCTTTGGGCGTGGGGTGCGTCCCCTGGTATTGTCCTTACAGGAGCACACCGCTTATACAAACTGACATCGCACTTGAGACGTGCACAGAGGCCAGCGTCTACGAACGGACTCGGTGCTTAAAAATTATATGTCCAGCAGATACTAAGAAATGTCCTGTATTCATCTGTCCTAACTGTAGATGTCCATCAAGCGACCAGAAGTCACTATGTTCTGGAAAGAACGACAATCTCCGGTCTAGGTCATGGATCGTACACCTGTTAACGCCCAACCACGACAAGGGACAGGGATTTTGCTTACTTGATCGACAGACGCCGTGCTACTCGATCGGCTCTTCAGCCTGCTCTTATTTCTCTTCTTAGTTCCGTGGCGGTGGGCAGGTATGCTGATGTCCCTTCTTGTAGACAGTTTTGCATGTCGGACACATAGTCTGCATGTTGGAGGATTTGGTATTGACACCGGCCTCTCCAGGCCGCCATGCGGAAGATGCAGCGCCCATTTTGCAGCAAGCGATGGAAGAAGTAGATATCTAATAGATACTGGTGGTCAAGCTAGGGAGGTATGTAGGAATGGATTTCGCAGAGACGTCAGATCTCGAGATGAGGGGTGAGAAACAGCGGTATTTGTAGACCGGCGCTCTACGTTAGGACTGCCCTGGCACAACTTCATGTCCATGACCGTCGCGTCCATTCGCCCAGTTCCAGCGCTGTACACGCAGGAAGTGTGACACGAGATGCCTCAATCCCTGCTGCAAGAAGCCTCTTCCTTAGCAAGATCACGAGGCGATGAAGCGATGTGCCACAAAGCTGCAAACATCTGTGTTGGATTGGTTATCAGAGCAAACAAAAAGGGATGTTATCTTCTTGTTTGCGTTCCATTCTCCATCCCTCGCAGCGTTTCACCCTCCGGCGGAATTCAAATAGTCCAATATTGTCTCGATGCGTGTGCAAATACACCAACGCCTGACCACCAGCGGGGATCTCCAGTCGTGTTCTATCAGCCTCATGCTTCAGGTGATGCATATCGACGAAGGAAGCGCACTGTAATCCCGAGGAACACAGGGCCCATATGGCGAAAGTGTGCCCATTATGAAGTTGCAAATATCAAAGGCTGCGAGCTAACGCAAGCAGCTCGGTAGAATGGGTCATGGATGGTGTCAGGCCAGAATCAAAGATTGAGCTAAATATTAAACACAGAATGCTTACCAGATCCGCAGGGGCCGTCACAGCCCTTGTCCCTGAGATAAATTTTCTCGTTTGATACAATAATGCATCCTGGAGGGGATCTATTATATGCAATCAGTCTCGCATATCGTGGTTATCCAATGTTAGAATGAGTCTTCCTTGAGGCCACCGGTGCATACTGATAGACACTAAATGCTTAGACAGAGGTCACAATCTATCCCACCAGGACTCCCTTAAGCTTATGCGGGTGATGTCAATGGCGCCGTCATGCCTTCTGGACTCTGTCCGGCAAGCTGATCTTCACGGTTGCAAATGAAGATATCTCGCAGTGTACATCAAAGGGTGGCCATTGAAACCCATGCGAAGCAGGTCAGCCTCGGCTTATGACAGACTGACGGCCATAGTTGAACAGATATGTAGAAATTGTCATCTCGTGCGCTTGAAGCTACTGCCTGGCTTAGCACCCCATTACATGGACACCACCGCACATCTGGAGACGAAGAGCAGCTATGTTCCTTCTACACTATTTTTTATAGTTACTCTATAAAAATGAAAGCCAAGTGGGGCGTCTCCAACATGACGTCGACTTATTCAGCATCTCCAACCATTTTTCTCCCGCATGAATCGTATCCCACTTGCCGTCGCATCTACACAGCAGAGCTCCCAATTCACACCCAGAACACCGGCCGGCACCATGTCCGCTTCGATCAAGCAATGGACCTCCAATCTCAGCGGCCTGGACGGCCTCAAGCTGTCCGAGGCCCCCATCCCGGCCCCGGACAAAGGCGAAGTCCTCGTTGAGATCCAAGCGGTGTCACTGAACTACCGCGATTACGAGGGTACGTCTGTCCATTCCAAGAAAAAAAAAGAAAGAAACAGAAACTCATACAATATAGTATGCATCGGCGAATACAACCACCACAAATCCGTCGGCCAGACCCAATCCGTCGTCCCGTGCTCCGACATGTGCGGTGTGATCACCCAGGTCGGCGACGGCGTCACCGCATACAAACCCGGCGACCGCGTGCTCTCGACCTTCCTCCCCGAACATCAGACTGGCCAGGTGACGGAAAAGGAGCTCGCCCAGGGCATGGGACACCCGCTCCCGGGGGTATTGACGACACACCGCGTGTTCCCCGTGCACGCCCTGGTCCGGGCGCCCGCCTACATGACCGCCGAGGAGGCCTGCACGCTGCCCATTGCCAGCGTCACGGCCTGGATGTCCATCAACGGCATGCGGCCCATGGGCCAGCCCGGCGGCCAGGGCGAGTATGTCCTGCTGCTGGGGACGGGGGGCGTCGCCATTGCCGGATTGCAGATTGCAAAGGCGTCCGGCGCGAAGGGTATGTTCAGCGTCTGCTAAGTGATTTATAAGATGAGACTAACCGACGTAGCGATCATCACCTCGTCCTCTGATGCCAAGCTGGAGCAGGCCAAGGCCCTCGGCGCCGACTATGTTATCAACTATCGCACCCAGCCCAACTGGGAAGAAGACGTCATGCGCGTGACGGACAACCACGGCGCCGATATCATCCTCGAGACGGGCGGCGCGCAGACCCTGCGCAAGAGCTTCGAGTGCATCGCGTTTGGCGGCCTCATCGACTGCATCGGGTATCTATCCGGGAAGATGGATGCGCCGGGCGACCGGCTGAACGTGAATCTGTTGGCGCTGCGGCGGAATGTGACGCTGAAGGGCATCATCAACGGCCCGCGCGATCGGTTCGAGGAGATGGTGGCGTTCTACGAGAAGCATCAGATCCACCCGGTCGTGAACAAGGTCTTTGCATTCGGTGAGGCCGACCAGGCGTTCAAGTTCCTGGCCAGTGGCAGTCACTTTGGAAAGGTCGTGATCAAGGTGGCCCAGTAGATTCATTGTGTAAATAGATAGGTAGCCATGCATAGACGACTTTCCGCTACTCTAATTACTCGGCTTGAGCTCCGTGCTATCTCCTAGATCCTCGCCCAGCTGCTTCCCTCCCACGACGACGGGCTGCGCGTCCAGCAGCACAAACAGCATCCGCGTCCACTCGGTGGTGCTCGGATTCTGCCACTCGTGCATCGTCCCCCTCTGCACCGCGATGTCGCCCCGCTGCAAACGTCTCTTCTCGCCGGAGTCCAGAATCATGTCCACCTCTCCTTCCAGCACGATCCCATAGTCCAGGCTCTGTGTGCGGTGCATCAGGCCCGGCTGGTTCGGCGCAAAGTCCACCACCCGGCAGACGCTGCCGCCGCGCTTGACCAGGCCCAGGTTGCCCTCTGTCATGGTCTTTTCGTATTCCGCAATGTCGTGCTCGTTGTTCATGTTCGCGGGGAACTCTGAGGTGGTGTAGGCCACGTTGAAGCCGAGGCTGCCATTGGCGTAGGAAGTCCAGTTGCCGGGGGTCGCGGAGTGAACAATGGCCTGGCCGGCATCGTTGTGGGTGGTGATGTAGCGGGTGAAGCTGGGTAGGGGGGAGATTGGGTTTCCTGACATAGTGTCGGTTTGAGATGGTGCATGAAGAGGTGGGGGTTGGGGGGTTATATCGAGATGGTTGATGAGGAGCGGTCAGCAATGCATACGTATCATTCTTCCGTGCAACACGTGTGCGTTACCGTCTTGCCATGCCACTAGCTCTAACAAATCAAAATTCCGTACAGGGGGGACAGATTATTCAGGCTGCATAGTATGCAGCTGGTCCAGGGAGTAGGCATTTCGTCGGATCGCCTGAGGGCTTCGTCGTCGCTGTTGATTCAGCCACCTAATCGGTGCCATAGCTGACATGACGCTTCGTCGTTGGACCGCCACTGGAGGCATTGTCAATCCAGCCGGGGATCTCGTCGAGGGTCTGTTCAGGAGAGAAGTGTTGACTTGTACATGGGCCCTAACCGTTGTAGACGAGATGGTTAGGCTCAAGCTATCTATTGGTACAATCTGTGAAGAACAAATCCAAGAACCCTGGTGAATATATATCATATGCCCGATGACCTACCGAAGTTCATCAACAAGTATTCGTACATATTACTGTGAGTTTCTTGATGTCGACGACCTGACTACTGAGATGTCTGGAGATGCGGATATACGTTGTTGAGACAAGAACCATTTAGATTCTAGACTAGACGTGCTTCTCCAGGCGGAGACAGCGCAGCTGCAATGTTAGAAACAGGCCACCCGGTTATATTCCCCCATTTTCTCAACTCATCTACCATTTCCGCGCGCTTTTGTGTGTCCTGGATCCAGGGACCACCTACAGAACAGATTAGGCTCGATTTCATGAGAGCGACCAACCACACTCACAAAATGCAATCGGTCCAAAGGCATTGACCCAAGCGGCAGCACTCTCACTTGAAACCGCCAAAGCACAGACCTCGGTAGCATGGTAGTCGAGTTTCCGACGCAAGCAATCCATATCGTCTATGCGCTGCAATGCTTTCAAGGGCCGAGGTGCCGGCTGGGCCAGCCAAAGAATGCCCATGGCGGTATGGTAGTAATGAAGAGTCGATACTGGTCACGTCAGCGGGGAAGGCGAACCGCTCTTGTGAAGGGGTCCAACCGTGCCAGCTTCGTAGAGTCCATATGGGGGGAAAGCTGCTGGGCGTCCTCAGCCCGGGAGTTTCTATCGGATCAAACGATGGGGGAAGAAAAGATTTCCAGCGATCAAGCTCGGCCTTCATGGCTTCCCACTCCATGACGCCCAAGGGTGAGGAATCGACCGATAAGCACCGGTTAATCAACTTCCCTAGAATGAAGGTAACAGAATTTGCAAAGTCCATGTCTTCCGTTGCTTCCGGGGGCGCATTCTGATCCGATAGAGTGATCATCAGGCCGCGCTTCTCGATCAGAGCTACGGTAATATCTTCGCGGAGGTAGTTCCAGTAGCCAGCACTGAGTAGGTCCGCCGTGAGGTGCACATGCCGACTAGCCAAGAGGGAATAGCTTCCTTGAAGGTGGTTTTGGGAGCTAACGTTTCCTAATTTCATGGTCGCCATCATCCGGCCAGCCTCAGCTTCAGTTGAAACAATTTGGATAAGTCCAGAGTCGGAGGGTCCACTGACGAGTTATGATCTCGTAAGAACGCAGAAGACAAACCGCGGCGAGGGACTCTCCAATGGGGAGTTGATCGACATTATCCGTCAGAGATATCAGTCTCCGAACACTGTCATAGTGATAGAATTCCGCAAGCTCCAGGTGCATGGGATCTCCCCGTGTGCGATGTAGATGAGCCGCCGCAAAGGCGAGGATAGCACTGAGCAATAATGCGTTACATCGTGCTCGAACCGGAACAACGTCCTTGAAGTGGCGCTTGTTGTCATTCAGATCATACCACGCAGCAAGGCTTTCGACATAGTGGCGGAATATCTTCGCAATGAGTGGATCTTGCAGTGCATGTTCAGGTACTTGGGTCGAAGGGTATTCAGGGTCAGGATGGACCGCTGCGCCAGACGGGCTTACTGAAGCTGCTTGGCCAATTTCAATCCAATGGCAGTGGCGGGAACTTCGTTGGCAGGCCGTACATTGGGGTCGTCTGCCATCACCTACATGTTCGATGAATCACATGTCTGTAAATAGAGCATTACTAGTAAAATGGGCGACCAACATTTGATTCTCCGTGATCTGCATACTTGGCTGCACCGTTGTAAGTCAGGTGGTCTGAGATGGCTTGATCAAGGGCCATTTACCAGCCTAAGGATGCATCAATACCGGAATTCCACTGACTGATCGGCCGAGCACTTACGATTTCGCTCAAGTGGTCGGGGCATCTGCGCGTTGTGCTCGATTACAATGCGATCGAGTCAAAGGCGAGGTTTTTCGCGAGCAGGTGTCTAATGTGTTATGACGTGGTTGACTGCTGCGGCCAAAAGCGGGATGAAGATGTGGGGTTGAAAGGCGAAAGGCGAAAGGCGAAAATGGTACTGTATCTATTGAACTGTGGAGACGAGACACACAGAATCTCTAAATATGGCAGCATCCTTGGTCTACGCCTGCTGGTTGAAATCGTACGCATTACCAAATCCACGGTTCAAGTATCGTGAAAGAGCCTCCGACTTGGTCACCCAGTCCACAGGGACTTCTACGTCGGTCAGACCCTCAATGACAGGCCGTAAATCATCCGCCAACTCGAGTTTCATGGGGTTTCGGTACCACGATGCGAAATGAACTGCCAATATTAGGGTTAGTCCTTTAAGATAAGAGGACACTAGCAGGGATGACTTACTCATTGCTAACATGACGCGGGGGATTTCCGTTTGATTCCCAATTCCTGCATGCCACAGCCTCAGATCTCTGATGACAATCGAGCCTTTTGGCACAGTAGGCTGGCAAGGGGCGCGGACAGCACGGCGCTTTTCCAGCTCCTCGAGCTTAATCCGACCGCTTGCGCGCTCACCATGTAGCCCTTCTTGAACATGCAGTCCGGTGTCGGTGTGCGTGCCCAGCCACACTTCCGTGGAGCCGTTCTCCGGTGTCATTGTAATCAGAGGCACATTGATAACATACGCAAACGGGTGGCACGGGTGTGCAAAGTCTGCATCTGAATGCACCGGTTGCGACATAGGAGGGTGCTCGGTGGTGGGCGGCATCGCGGTGTTACCAGAACAGAACGTCCATTTTGGGCGGGGTCCCAACGCCGATGAAGTAATTTGCGTTGCAATTGGGTCTTGGAGGTACGAGGTAGTTAGAACCTGCGTACTGGAGGGAGCCATGGCCTTCCGGTGGACTCACTCAGAAAAATGCTGAGATCGAAGTGTTCTCTCACTGGGGGCGCATCCTGCTGGAGATTTCCAAGGTTGTAGTTAAACGGACTATCACCCTTTTTCGACCGGAGAATGTATGCGTCCTCGACCATCTTCTTGTTGAGTCGATCCAGGCTGCCGTGAGGGACAACATTCTCAACCACAACGAGGCCGTCCTCATGAAGGCTGCGCATAGCAACCTCGAGATGCTGGGGGGAAAGACACGCGTGTTGGATCTCGGTGGTGGTTGGACGGATGGAGGTTGGATGGCTTCTGAGCTGGCCTAGCTGGGTTGATAGGAAACGCCTTTGATAATGGCAGCTCAGACGTGCTGCACCCTTGAAAAGAACTTGGCTCATGATGAACGGAAGGCAGTTGGATGTTTTGTACCGGATGGGATGGAACAGCGTAAAGTGATATCTGGCTCGAAGATGAAATCCTCCGACTTTATAATCCATGACTCCGTACTCTCCGTTTCCTGCCCAGTCCAATGTGGGAATTTGCGATGCATCTCGCCTTTCCTATTTCTACATTCACGATACGCGAGACGCTCGCTATTCGCAAAACCGTCTCGCTAAAAGGTCGAAAGGCGTATCGCTTTTCCCCAATCTCATTCATAATCGGCCTTCATATAGCAAACCCAGTACTTATGCGCACCACGAAGGCCGACGCTGGGTGCAACTCGTATGCTAGGTTGGTTTTCTAGGCTTTTATATATATATATACATATAATGTGCCGAATTATTCTAAGGGGTCCAAAGACACCAGGCCCAGAAAAGGGTAGGGCTCATTGAAGTCGGCACTGAACATTGCTAGGAATCTATCTCTACTATACCTATAATTCAACTAGAGGGAGTATAGGGATGCTACAGTAACAGACGCCGAGGAAGAGGCGCCTGCCCGCACAACATACCAAATAACTAACTAGACTAGCTAGACATTAAGCGATGCTGATCATCCTCGATTCTCCAAACCTCGGGAATATCACCTACCTACTCTGCCGAACAACCCTAACATACTGTACATGTGCCACGATCCTCTCCAGTGTCACGCTGCAACACTTACGCAATTGTGACTAACTGCGCGGACTTAATGAACCTGTCCGCCTCATAGGGTCCAGAGATCGCTGCTGTAATCTGCATGCTCCGACTCAATCGGGGTCTAAGGGCGAAGACGTGATGGAGACCCACACTTATATCATTGCCTCTATGCTCTAGCATCATCCGCCGTCAGATTTCGCAATCCGCACTTCATAGCTATATCTCCACTAGATGAATGCGGGACATGCAAGTTGTCTCGACTTTTTCACAAGAAATGCCCGTTCGGGCTGTCTTGTTCCGCTATGATCGTCGCTGTCGATGATCATAGTCAACTCTGAGCTCTCAACATGGCATACACCGCATATTGATCGTCCATTCTACGCTTTGCAATTGTGTGGGGAGATGATACAACCTGCCGCATACGGCGGGCGTGATTCTGCCCGGGAGCAGTATATATACTCGCCTGATCGAGAGCATCTCGCACGAGCACGACCGGCAAACCAACATCCCCAACATGAAGCTCGCGATAGGGTCGATCCTGCTCTGGGGCCTCTCGCTGGCCGCCAACCAGCCCAACATCCTCTTCATCCTCACCGATGACCAGGGCAAGGACCAGATCGGCGGGCTGGAATACATGCCGGAGCTCCAGGTGCGCAGCCAAACCCAGCCCAATCATTCTATTCTAACCCAAACAGCAAAAACTCGTCCAAAAGGGCACCTCCTACCCCAAGCACTTCTGCTCCGTGGCCGTCTGCTGCCCGTCCCGCGCCAACATCTGGACCGGCCGCATGCCGCACAACACCAACATCACCGACGTCGGCCTGCCGTACGGCGGATACCCGCGCGTGGTCAGCGCCGGCTGGAACGACAACTACCTGCCGCTCTGGATGCAGGACGCCGGCTACGACACGTACTACGTCGGGAAGCTGTGGAACGCCCACACAGAGCAGAACTACAACAGCCCCTACGCGCGGGGCTTCAACCAGTCCGACTTTCTGCTCGACCCGTGGACGTATCGCTACTTCCACGCGGTGATGACGCGCAACGGCGGGAAGCCCGTGAGCTACGCGGGCAACTACTCCACAGACGTGCTGCGCGAAAAGGCGGAGGGCTTCCTCGACGACGCCCTGGCGAACCCGGACCGGCCGTGGATGCTCACGGTGGCGCCCAACGCGCCGCACTCGAATGGCTCGCACGATCCGTCGCGCGATGTCACCTGGTACGGCGAGCCGGAGTATGCGCCGCGCCATGCGCACCTCTTCAAGGACTATACCATCCCGCGCGACAAGAGCTTCAATAAGGTGATTGAGGGCGCCGTGGGCTGGGTTAAGGATCTGTCGGAGCTCTCGCAGAAGGAGGTCGACTATATCGACGAGTTTCAGCGCTGCCGGCTGCGCGCGCTGCGGGCGGTGGACGAGATGGTTGGGGCGCTGGTCGACAAGTTGGACAAGGCGGGTGTCCTCGATAATACGTATATCTTTTATTCGACGGACAACGGGTACCACGCCGGACAGCATGCGATGCAGCCGGGGAAGAACTGCGGATACGGTATGAGATGACGGCCCGTTTAAAGAGGCATGCTGACTGTGCAGATACTGATATCCATGTGCCGTTGATTGTCCGCGGTCCCGGAATCCCCCAGAACGAGACGTTGAATGTAGTCACCAGCCATACGGATCTGGCGCCGACCTTCCTGTCCATTGCAGGGACGACACGGAACGGACTCGATGGCAAGCGTCTTCCGACGACGGTGGAAGCTAGCCAGGCTTCCAACAAGACGGAGCATGTGGCGATAGAATACTGGGGACTGGTAAGTGAGTCGACATCAACAAATGGCATTTACTTACGACGACAGGCGGTGCCGGAAGGAATCTACGGATACAAGAGCAACAAGCTCCAGCAAGAAGGCAACAGCTACAAGAACAACACCTACAAAGGGATCCGCCTGGTTTCAGACGACTACAGTCTGTACTATTCTGTCTGGTGTACGAATGATGTAGAATTCTATAACCTCAAGGTAAGATATTCCCTGAGATATTCCCTGAAATGCCTACGCAGGATGCTAACAAGCACAGGATGATCCCTCTCAGACCATCAACCTCGCCGCCGACACTTCCGCCCACCAGGGCTACACGATCGCCAGCCGCTCACTAGACCAGATCCTTCCCCGTCTGGACGCACTGATGATGGTGCTGAAATCCTGCAATGAGGATTCGTGCCGTCACCCGTGGCACCAGCTGCATCCCGGTGGCCAAGTCAACAGCCTTGCGGACGCGCTAGACTCATCGTACGATAAATTTTACGCCAATCAGCCCAAGGTGTCGTTCTCGGAGTGCAGTGTGGGATACCACATCTGGGCTGAAGGCCCGCAGAAGTATAACGTGTTCGGGGGAGGCAGAGGAGGCGGCCAGAAAGGTGAGACACGGCAGGCTGATGTGATAGACGGCCAGAAACACAGCTCCGCGGCGCGAACGGTTAGCACTGTTTGGGACTTATTTTGGTTATAGTCTTGGGATGATCAGTGAGCAGTCAAATGCCTGGTGAAAGATGAGGCAGTCCTAGACGGATGCACATATCATGACGTCCATGCCCTTATGGATATAATAAACTCAACTCTATGAATATATTGCATAGTAATAATCTATGAATTTGCCCTTGCACTCCAGACCAGCTTTGAGAGCATTTAGATCATCGTTTATATCAGGTCCTGATCGCACGCACGTACTTACTAATCGGAAGGCCAGGTTTCCGACTAACTTGCACGGAAATCAACTACCGGATATATCAAACTGGAACAGCCCATTCTTCATCAGGATTTACCCAGAAGCAAGGTTAAGCCAACTCATGAGAAATCCCCAATTCATCACATCATGCTGTCCGGGACCCCCGTCACAGCATGAAATGCCGGTCCCACTTGCCGCCATCATAGCTTGTCGCAGCTTGTATCAGGTTGAGCCCTGGCCCTGGTCTCGGCTCAATTGATACAAGTCGCCCTCGTCCGGACCCGATTAGGAACGGAAAAGACCAATTCCAGCCTTGTGCATCTGCAGACCCTTTACCCTTGCGACACCGGAGATTTCAGGGTCGTCGCTTGGCCGTTGGCTTCATCCGGGGCCGGAGCCCACCAGGGGGGCTGATGCGTCAGCTCCTGCCGATCTCCAGCACCGGCCAAGGCAATATCATTCTGAAGCACCGGCGGCGTATCAACACTGCCAAAGTCGTTTTGGGTTACTTGGCTGGGTTATCAATCAGCGGTTTGTGGCTGTTGGAGCTGATTCTAGAGCGTAGGATCGTCGGGATAGACGTTTCTAACCCTGTGTACTCCATTGTCTTCGGGACAGCCGGGAGCTGACGCGTGCAGGCATTGTCTACTTTGCCGGCAGGCTGAAACCACCAGGACATGAGGTTATCCCGTCCATTCATCAACCTGGATCAGCAAGCCAGGCAGCTGGACGAGCAGCAAGATATTTAAACCGCTTCGTGCGTCCCCTACGAAGTGATGCTTCCAACTCATAGTCCCGGTGACTGAAGTCTGCACATTCCATTCTCTTATCCTCTGGCCTGGCTGCCTACATTCTATCCTTTTCAAACACTCTTTTTCAAACCTCCACAATGAAGCCTCAAACCGCTGCCCTCCTTCTCAGCCTGCTGGGCTCCTCCCTGGCTGTCCCCGTCAAGAACCAGGACAGCCAAGCGTTCCCTACCGATGTCCAACCCACCGGCACGCAGGGCGGCTTCCCCGGGGGCCCTCCCTCTGGTCTGCCCTCTGGCTTCCCTCCCGGCCCTCCGCCCTCGGGCTTCCCATTCCCCTCCGGCTTCCCTACTGGGTTCCCGTCCGGCTTCCCATCGGGCTTCCCTCCGGGCCCTCCTCCGTCCGGCTTCCCCGGCTTCCCCGGTGGCTCCGAGCCTTCTGGGCCCGCTCCTACCGGCCCTGCTCCCACCGGTTTTCCTTCGGGGCTCCCTGACCGCTCAGGCATAAAAGTGCGCTCTCCCCAGTTCGGCGGCGGCGCTCCATCGGGCCCTCAGCCCTCCGGTCCTGTTCCCTCTGGCTTCCCCGGCGAGGGTCCTAGTCCCACCGGCCCTATCCCTTCTGGCCCCGTGCCGTCTGGCTTCCCTGGCGGTTTCGGTCAGGGCTCTGAGCCGTCTGTCTTCCCTGGTGGATTTGGACAGGGTTCTGCACCTTCTGGGTTCCCGTCTGGCGCCGTGCCCTCTGGCTCTGCTTCCGGTGGATCTGGTGGTTTCATGGACTGGCTGCAGTCGTTGTTCTAAACGTCCCAGTGCAAGTTGGTGTTGGTGCCTGTGAGCTAGTGCAGACAGTCGATCATTCATTACATGTATCAGTCTAGAAAAATGCATTGACCTGATATCTTGCTTGTATACAACCACTCCCCCAGCCAGCATCATTAATTAGCACTAGTAGTACTTTCAACCACCTCCCCTAACATGACAATCCTCAACCGCCCCCGATCCAAAAACCCCTCCTCATCCGCCGCAATCTGCTGCGCCGCCTCGGGCGCCGACACCTTCGCCATAAACGCCTGCAGCGCGGCGTCATCGGCAAAGGTCAGTTCCGCGACGGCGTCAAAGTCAAAGTCGGCCTGCTGGCCGACTATCACCGCGGCTGGGGTGGCTGCATTGCGCGGGGGTGGTTGCTCGTTTTCCGGCGGAGAGGTGGTGGTGGTGGCCGCTGTGCGGGCGATGTAGCTGCGCCGGTGCGAGAGGGGAAAGTCCGAGGTGGAGATGCGTTTGAGGAGGTCGACGTGTGCTTCGTAGCGCGTGCGGAATGTTGCGGGGGAGATGTCGGGTCTGCGGGTTGCGAGGATCAGGACTTTGGGCATTTTGATTGTTCTTGGGGTTTTGTGTTGTTGTTTTGACGGCTGGTTGGGGTGAGTGTTGTGGTGTGCTTTATAGAGGGTGTATACTTAGTGCTTACGGGCCAAAGGATTATCTACTGTTGGTTTTTGCTGTTTTTCCAACGAGAACATGATGCCGTGAATAGCAGTGAGAGAACTATATCCTAGTGGTACTATACTAAGGTGATAACTAGTCCTATCTGATGTTGGTATACTTTTCGGCCAGAAAAGCCCATCTATATAACCGTCTACACCCCTCTACTTCCATTACAACTCCCACCTCCTACGTCTACAACTACATACTATATCCACATACATCTACTACCTCCACAGGATACAATAGAAAATCCCCCTCCCACCCCCCTTCGCCTCCATCCCCCGCCACCCCCTCACCCTCGGCCCATCACCCATCCACGCCCTCCCCCGCATAACCGCCGACCTCAATACCAGCGCAACCATCTACGCCAAGCGCGATGACCTCAACTCCGGGCTCGCCTACGGGGGCAACAAGACCCGCAAACTCGAGTACCTCGTCGCCGACGCGCTCGCGCAGCACGCGGACGTGCTCATCAGCATCGGCGGCGTGCAGAGCAACCACACGCGGCAGGTGGCCGCCGCCGCCGCGCGCACGGGGCTGAAGGCGCGGCTCGTGCAGGAGCACTGGGTGGACTGGACGGACCCGGGGTACGAGCGGGTCGGCAACATCCAGCTGTCGCGGCTGATGGGGGCGGACGTGCGGCTGGACGCGTCCGGGTTCGGCATCGAGCACAAGCAGACGCTGGCGGCGCTGCGGGCGGAGTGCGAGGCGGCCGGGGAGCGGCCGTACTATATCCCCGCGGGGGCGTCGGACCATCCGCTGGGCGGGCTGGGGTTTGCGCGGTGGGCGTTTGAGGTGCGCGAGCAGGAGAGGGAAATGGGGGTGCGGTTTGGCACGATCGTGGTGTGTGCGGTGACCGGGTCGACGATGGCGGGCATGGTGGCCGGGTTTAAGTTGCTGGAGAGGATGTATCCGGACGAGCCGCGGCGGACGGTGCTGGGGATCGATGCGTCGGCGAAGCCGGCGGAGACGCGGGCGCAGGTGCTGCGCATTGCGAAGAATACGGCGGTTAAGATTGGGCTGAGCGCGGAGGATGTTACCGAGGAGGATGTGCTCCTCGAGGAGGGGTATCATGCTGGCACGTATGGTATCCCGGACAAGGCGACGTGGGACGCCATCGAGTATGCCGCCCGCATGGAGGCGTTCATCACGGACCCCGTGTACGAGGGCAAGAGCTTCGCCGGCATGGTCGATTTGATCCGCAAGGGCAAGATTATGGGCAATGTGCTCTACGCGCATCTGGGCGGGCAGTTGGCCTTGAATGCGTACTCGGAGATTGGAGCGCTGCAGAAGACTACTTAGTGGTAGGAGTTCAGATAGTGGTAGTATGTCAATTAATGAGTGACTAGAGTTGGACTAGATAAGATAAGGTCAAGACCTAGAAGAGCTTGTGCTCCAGAGTCATCTCCGACTCGGGCTGCAGGCCGACGCAAGCACGGAAGATGTTGGTCAGAGCGCTGCGCTGCTTGTTCAGCGCGTTGACGACCGGAGTGCCAGGCGGGGTCAGAGGAGCCTTCAGCATATAGCTCAGCACGCTGAGCACGCTGTGGAAGCCCTTGTACTCGCCGGCCTCGTCAGCCTTCCAGCTGATGCGGGTCATCATCTCGGCGATGAGAACCAGATCGATGATCAGAGGCGACGCCAGCAGGGAGTCCTCGCAGATGTTGAACAGCGAGATGGTCTGGTGGCCGCCCATGAAGATCTCGGCGTAGTACTCGTCCAGCGCGCGCTTGTTGTCGCCCACAGCCGGCATGTACTTGATCACCACGGTGTGATCGGGGTGCTCGTCCTTAGCGTAGAGGATCTGGTTGGCCGCCACCATATCATCCACCACGTTGGACTTGGAGATCTCCTTGGAGCGGAACTGCTTCTGGGAGCTCAGGTTCTTGCCGTCGTTGTTGCCGAGGTGGTTGTAGCTGGCGATCGAGGTGAGCTTGATACCGGCGTTGATGAGGAAGTCCACAAGCGCCGACTTCATCTTGGTCTGGCCCGACTTGAAGTCGTCACCGCCGATGAACGCCTTGTGCTTCTCGGCCAGGTCAATGGCACCGGGCACGAAGGTGTTCTGGGGGGAACCGTTGATGAACGGCACGTTGTCCAGAATACACGCCACGGCGAAGACGGTCGAGGGGGACACCTCCAGATGGCCGGTCTTGATGGAGTTGACCAGGTTCTCGGCGGTATCGTTGACCCCGGGGAGAATGTCGGCGTACCGCTCGGTGTTGGCCGTCCACATGACGATCACCTTGTCGAGGCCGTTCTGCGCCTTGAAGTCCCGCATGTCTTGCTGGATCTTCTCCACGTGGGCCCAGCAGGCCTTGGAGCCCTCGAGCACATTGTCGGCCCGGTCCTCCTGGTTGGACGCGATGAAGTCCGGGTAGTAGATGCTGGGCAGCGGCTTCATCTCGGCCATTTCCTTGCGCACCTGCTGCTTGAGCGTCGGCTCGAGCACTCCGGCCCGGTCCATGGCTTCGGCGAGGTTCATGCCGCTAATGTCCCAACCACCGATGGCGAGATCGTTGGGGTGGACCATGGGCAGCATGTCGTGGAAGGGAATGTTGATCTCCTCTCCGGTCTTGGCGTCGGTTCCCAGCTTGATGGTGGACCCCATGACGACGGAGCCGTAGTAGTTGGACGCCTGGGTGCCTTCCCGGGTCTCCCAAGTGAGACCGCGACGGTTGGCGATGATACCGGCGGTGACGGTGGAGCCGTTATTGCCACCCCAGCCGACCATCATGACACCAACCTTGCCGACGCGGCGGTCGACCTTGAAGTGGTAGTCAGTGGCCTTGGGGGTGGCCACCAACTTGTTGTCGGCGGTGCGGGTGACATCGGTGGTGTGGTAGGCATACTTGCTCTTGATCTCGGTGTCGGTGTAGACGACATTGGGCGAGTTGACGGTAAACAGGGGGGTGGTCGAGGCACGAGCCGACCCGTTCACGGCGCCATTGGCAGCAACATCCGAACTTGCGTGGGGAGCCATTGTCTCACAGGGATTGACGATGGGATGGAGATTGGCGGGAGGATGTTTTTAGCAAGATGGCACGGATTTACTGGACGTATAATGCGTAATCCGGTGCCCCTCCGCGGTTGGACGAGCGCCGGCCGTTGAACGGGTGGTGACGCCTGGGGGAGTTGGTTAGAATGGGGAATGAAGGCATTAGATGGTGAATTGGATGGACTCACGAGTTAAGAAGTGTGGCGAAAATTTTGACGGTGTTTCGCGATCACGCCTCGAAGAGAGTGATCGTATGGAATTGACGAGCAGCGAAACTGTGGGTGGGAGAAGAAGAGAAGAAGAAGAGAGAGAAAACGGATCGAGGGGTAGTATTTAAGTCACGGGAGTTGTTCCTCCACCCGTCCGTCCCCTTCCGGCTTCACCACATCAGTCCTACCGGTTACTACGGAGTACCACGGAGTGAGTACCTAGGCACTCTCTGGGTACTCTCTGGTACACTACTAGCTAGTGTCGACTACTAGTACATACCGAGTACTCTGGACAAAGAGCGGTCAGGAACAGTCCCCTCCGGTGGAGAGTCTCTTGATCGCCCCTCGCACGATCGACTGACATTGACAGATGCAGCCACCAGGAATGTTGCATCAACTGCCATGCATTCTCTGGGATTGACCATCATCAGTTATCAACTGCCTGTCAATTGACCTCTATTCACTGAAAATTCCTCTCGATCCCTGCCATCCGACAATCTAGCCCTTCCCCACTCCCCCGGTCAATGCAGGTCCGGTATGGCGCTAACCTCATCCTTTGCTGTCCTACGCCTCTTTTGGCAGCCTCCCTCCCGAACCGAGTTCTATCGTGAGTGGGAGCGGTCGCGTGTCATCCAATCATCTTAGATATCGACTTGGCACTACGATGGACAACACACAATGCGAAATGCCGTGCTGCGAGTCTGCCCAAGTATCCTTCATAAACAGCACAACTGACACCGTATGAAGTGGGTTTGGACACCGTGTGGTCTGCGCGTCAAGTGGGTCAAGCTCTCCGTATGGGGTACTCCTACTGGAAGTTTTGTACTGGAGGACTTGCAGTGCAGGTAAATTGGCCCGACCGGAGCTCATTGAGTGAATAATCAGAGGAAATTTTCCAACAAGGAGACGAGACGAAGAGACCAAGGGACGGCGACACGAACCGGAAGCTGACGGTAGGCAGCAGAATGGTGTGTGTGTGTGTGTGTGTGTGTGTGTGTGTGTGTGTGCTGTTGGGGCGGAAACTCGGAGCAGTACCATGGTTGCGTGGTTACCCCTGAATCATCGCGTCTGTTTGCGGGGGGTTGACATCTGGAGGCATAAGGGATTTTCTCTTACAAGGTACGGAGTTGAGATAAGTAGAGGAGATTTCATATTCTGTATAAGAGACTATGCACAGGTGTCGTGAAAGAGATATATGCAGTCACCCCGGACTCCCATCCAAGAACATTGTTCCCCAATCAAGATTGGTGTCGACTTAAAAAGTCATCGCTATTTACTATCGCAGTACCGGCTCGATACTTCGTCTCAGTCGCATACTCCGGACACAGAGCACATTTATTAGACTGCGAAGTACTATTTCTAGCAGACACGACCCACCGGCATGCCGTCCCTGGAATTGCAGATTCGGAGTGATGATGCGAACCCACCAGACGCGCAACCCCATCGCACGATTGCCGCGATAATCAGTCAGGGGTGTTTCCTATAGAAGACAACCCTGCCAAGCACCAGACAGCGGAGTGGATATTATCCCGCTGCGGTGAAGCTTTGTGCAGAGTGCGTAAGGTAGTGCAGTACACCAGGGTCCTCGGTGTCGCTGGGGGCGTGCTCGGGAAGATGCTCGTAGCTCTGGATGAATGCACTGGTTGTGTATACCTCGATAAAAGCCCAACTCAAGCCATAGAATTATAGATAGCATTAAAGCGAACACTACAGATGAAGTCCCAATGTGAGGGAAACAGACATTGCGATTTACATTCTCATCTTTCAGGTCAGGTCGGATCTTCTAATCGTCCCAAGGGTCGCAGTCGGTATCCTACCATGAGCAAGGAAGATTCCGCCTCATTAAGTCTCCGACTGCCAGTCTGACAATCGTCTACAGAGTTCAGACAACACTCCGTACACTCGACGTCCCAATCAAATGGGAAGCCGTTGAAAATCATCCCATCATGCGAGGGATGGGAGCCACAGTGGATATATATCATCACCAGGCACCAAGATTCCCGAAATTGCCGCCGCAGTGCATCCCAAGCGAAAATTCATCTAATAGACTTTCCTGGCGAGAACCACCAGCAGAGAACGATCGAACCCCTTTCCCCTGCCGAATCGCTTGCGTGGTGTCTCTCGTGAGTGGTGGATTCTCCGACGGCAGAGCCACGGGACGAGGATCAGCGGTTCGTATCTAGTTGATCCTCCTTGGGCAGACGAAAACAGTCCGCTAAAGTCGCACAGAATCGGATCGGAGCATCGAGAGACAGGCACACGGACGTGCACTGGGTTATTTTTATCTGAATCGGAGGATTTGTCGATGGCATACGCAAGGAGCCGGTCGGCCTGACAGGTCTGGACTGAGCGGATCGCCGGAGAGCATACTGTCTCGGGTAAGGACGGCGAATCCAGAGCCTTTCTTGAAAGAGTTTAAGGGATGGGATATGGGGAAATGAGAGGCTTTCTGGGCCAATCCCGACTCCAGAGGCAGCAGAGACAAGAAGATCCGAGGGTCGTGCATCTGGAGAGCCCCTTATGATCTGCGTGTTCAGGGGTCAGTGAGTTTAGACCATGACAATAGCCATAGGTTGTTATTCTTAGAATTAGAATCGCAAGCGAGTGAGGACATCCCAGTATAGATAGCGAAGAAGACTCACTGGCTGAATCAGGAGAAAAGCAATGTGGTGATGGAACAAGCGAGAACGCGTGTTGATGCGCTAGACCGGACTAAAGCAGACTAGTGCGCACTAGCGCCGCCGCTAAGCCCGATGGGACACCCGACCCACGAGGGCTTCTTCTGTACCTTTGGAGCAACTTATTTACCATCGTTGTCGCATCCACGCCGTCTTCACCCTTCTTCATAACATCATATCATAATTATGAGGCTGACGACACTGATGACATGACGCCGATACCGAGTTCAGTCTGGTCATGATTAATCTCTTCTAACAGTACCATCACTCACTCGATCCAGATGCTAGAGGTTCATCATCTTCCCATGGCATCTACTGATAACGGAGACTCCTGATGCTCTTCTCCCATGAACCACTGTCTATCACCTCTTCACCATGGATCCAGGCCTCTTGCCCTCGATCAAATGCTCCAACTGCGGCATGAGTGTGGAAATCTCCGCCATGGGAGACCACATCTGCACCACAGCCCGAGGTATACCCCCTCAGTCAGAACTCCTATTCCTCACCTACAACACATGCTGACGCGCACAGCTCCCTCGCCGCCGAGGCCACCACCCAAATATGTGTATGAAGTCCCGCCCAGAAGTGCGGCCAGACCAGCGCCCATCGATCCCTCCAAAGCCAGTATGCTCTCCGGGTCCATCTCCAGCCCGAACATGCAGTAACCTTCCTCAGACCAACCATTCTTACGCCCCGATGGCGACCCTGATCAGGGTGCTCTCACCCCCTCGCCGCTCCGAACACCCCAACGGAGCCAGACGACACCACTCCCCATGGATCCGCACTCCCCCGGGCTGGACGGCGACCTCCCGACCTTCCCTCTCCCCCGATCCATGTCGACCCGCAACCCCTCAGGGATGGCCGTGCTGAACGACCCAAACACCGCTCCACCTGTGCCCTCCCCGCAGTACGCCAACGCAATGGCCTCCGCCGGCCATCCGCCCCCTGCAAGCGCTCACCTCCCCCTGGTCATGGACAAGGGCCTTCCGCCGCCCCCCGTGCCCAAGGATGACGTCCCGCTACCAGATCCCCAGGGTCAGCACAAGCACAGCGCCTCCGTCGACAGCCGGAGTAGCTACCGGACGTCCCTCGCAAGCTCGCGCTACGACACCAACTCTAAGCGGTCAACCGCCATCTCGAGCCGCCGGCCCTCCTTCGGCAGCATCTCCTACGCCTATAAATACCTCGACGATGTCCCGCCCATCCCCCCAACCATCCCGCACTTCTCCTCCGCCTTCTCTGACTCCAGCGTTTCCGACGTCTTCCCCCGCCATGACGGCAAAGCCGACAGCACGAGCTTCGACTTCCGCAACTCGGCCGAGCAGCTCGCCCCCAAGCGTGACGCCGACAAACCCGCCCCCAGCCCGCTGCGTCCCTCGTCCAACGCCACCTCTGAGCGACTCAGCAGCTCCCGCGGCTCCGCAGAGCTCTTCTTCCACAGCCCGTCGCACAGCACGCATGGCCCCCCACTGGACCTCCCAGACCTGTCCGAGGCGCGCTCCCCATCCGTCTCCTCCAGCAACCACGAATACAAAGCCTTCCGGCCGCCAACATCCGACCACCTCCACCCCACAGACGCGGAGAACCACGGCGATGCGCACGGGCGGAAGAACTCCGACGCCAACAGCGAGAGCAACCTCTCCGTGACGAGCTTCGCGCGCGCCCTGGGCCTCGACGGCGCCGGCCACGCAGCCCCCAACAGCACCACCGAAAGCGTCACCACCTCCTCGGAATCCTCCCCCTCCGACTCCCGCAGCGGCACCTCCTTCTCCAGCGTCGCGTCGGAGGCCAGCTCGCGGCGCAAACCCTCCGACCTGGGCCGGCTCGGCCCCGTCGAGGAACACCCCAGCGACCCGGGGCTGAAGCCCGTCCTGGACGAGCCCCTCCGCACCGAGAGTCCCGTCGAGCTGGAAGCTCCCCGCATCCCGGAGGCACTGTTCAGTCCCGACTCTCCCACAGACCCGGCTATTAATCGAGGCGGCTTCAGTATGGCGCCGAGCCAGCCCCCCAAGAACGCGACTCATCCTGCCCCATCCGCGCCGACCTCCGATGACAATGCCCTCCCCGACAGGCCGACCATGACGCGGTCTGCCACCGAGCCCGTGGCCCGTCCGCCGCCGCGGCCCAAGGGTCGTTGTCGCGGCTGCGGGGAGATGATCATGGGGAAGTCCGTGTCGTCCGCAGACGGCCGCCTGACCGGTCGGTATCACAAGGCGTGCTTCGTCTGCTACGACTGCCGCACGCCGTTCCAAACGGCCGATTTTTACGTCCTGGATGATCGGCCCTTCTGCGCCCAGCATTACCACGAGCGAAACGGCTCCGTGTGCCACACCTGCCACACCGGCATCGAGGGCCAGTACTTGGAGACGGTGGAACGCACCGGCCGCGGCCCGGGCGACTCACAAAAGTTCCACCCGGATTGCCTGACCTGTCGCACGTGCCATATCCTGCTCAAGGGCGAGTACTTTGAATGGAATGGGTTGGTATATTGTGAACGGGACGCACGCCGTGCGGCCGCGTCCATGTCACCCCATCGCTTCCGTCGCCCGACCATGCCGTCATCCCCGCTGGCGCATTCGCGGGGCTACTCGCGCGGATATCCTCCGCCGCCAGCTGGTTACCAGGGGCCGGGACCAGGTATGCGGCCGTACGGGCCAGGACCAGGCCCTATGTCTGGTCCTAGCCTGCGGCCTCCCGCCGGCCCCTACGATAGCGGATCGTACGGTCCGCCTCCTTCTCCGGGGCCACGCCGCTTCCCCGAGCGACGGACGACCCGATTGATGATGATATGATTATTTACTTGACTCCATGGCGCTTTCCGGTGGCAGGTGTTCATTCCCGCAGGGCATCTGGTGTATTGATATTGATCTTGTGTTCTGACGTTTGCTATGTTGTTTATTCCCTACTTGCATCTTGGACTGCCATATACCCCATGCTCATCCTGATCCGTCCAGTTCCGTTCCCCATCCCTCACCACCAAGGCAGCCGCCGGTCAACCGGATGTACCATAATGTCTCTGCATAGTGTTTGATGTAATCCAGTGTTTCGCATATCGATGAAGGATCAAACCCCGTCTAATCACTTTTTGCGCCCGCTTCTAGTGCTCTTAAACATTTTGTTGAACATGGTGTTCGTGGAAGTATCTGATTCCGACAGTGCAGTGCCCGATGCTCCTTGGCCGTCTCCATCTTGCTGCCCGGAAGCCTGCGCAGATGGGTCTATCCACCCCTGTGGCTTCCCACGTGGCCACCCGGCTGACTCCCCGTCGTCCTGATCCCCGGGCTGATCGTTCTGCGCATTGTTTTGGCCATTGTTTTGGCCATTGTTTTGCCCATCGTTTTGCGGCGCAGCTGACGAGCCAGCCGGCGGTACATTTGCCCCCGCGGACGATGAGCCAGCCGGCGGTACATTTGCCGTCACGGTCGAGGGCACGGCAGGAGGCTGTGCCACGTTGGCGGGCGTCCGGCGACGTCGTGATCTTGCAGTCCGTGGATGTCCTATTGCGAGTATCAGTACAGCTATGGGGTGCAGGGGGGAAGAGGCCATACTGATGTAGTTGTAGGCTCGGCGGAGGGGCCCTTCACGTTTAGCCCCGTCGGAGGGCGCATTGCCGTCGTTGTTTGCCATGAGTGCGACGCAGAAGGGCGAGTATAGTCTGCTGGATGTAGATGGGTAGTTATACTGGTTGACGATGGGAGTGTAACGAGCGTGGATGTGTAGATGGATGGAGGAGAATGGGAGGGGGTCAGGGGGAGTAGATATATGCGGCTACATTGTTCCTTCCTGAGTGTGTAGCAAGTGTTGAGTGGTGAGGAAGGAGGGAGCGTTGAGCTTGCTACTTGTGACTGCTGGAGCTTGACGGTTCCTTCTATAGATTGGTTTGCGCTGTCCAGGACAACGGTAGTTGCTGCGTCGAGGAGTAGATCGGAGTCATTAGCTGGCTGAGCATCTATGAGATCTGGGCCCAAGCCCCAGGTGGTTAGGGCGCCAGAAGTATGGAGCCTACGCGTAATCATAGAACAGGTGGGAGTAGACAAACGTGTAGGTAGACGCTCGAGGCGAGGCGAGTAGGACACTAACCGCCACATTTCCGTAGTAACATCTTTTTTGTATGTGCCTGAATGGCATCATCTCGAGTAGACAACCACATAGCAGGGTATCCTACGAGTACTATCTCCAACCATGATATCTCAATAAATACGCAAGACTATTCCCCACATCTCCTCAGCGGAGAACCGTCGGAAAACTCCAACTTCCCCTCACAACTGCGAAAAACTCTATACCACGTCTATTCTATCACCATCCCCTTTCGCATCCCCTGCAACCGCAGCAGATACCGCTCCGACTCAGCCGCATACGGACACCTCGTGCGAATCACTGCCCCGTACCGATAGAACAAGAACGGCGCGGGCATGCACGCCAATAATCATCCCGACCATGATGCCGGGCTAGTCGTCCAGGATAGCCTGCGTGATGGCACCTTGGTCGGTGAGCATGCGCCAGAAAGGGATCTTAGGTGGTAAACGCCTGGCCGGAGGGTGGGTGTGTCCATCCTGTTCTGTTTGTGTCGGTAGGGGGACGATGTATACAATCCTCGCCGGAAGGGAAATCGGGCACTTCAGAACATCTGGACGACCGCAACAAACAGGTAGAAAGATCGCAGCAGACTCAGCTCATAGCATTGCTAGGCCCTCGACCGCTGCGTACCTGGACCGAAGACGCCCTCAGGCAGACTTGGTGGACCAAGTGGAGCACCGCAAGGCTTCTCTGTCGGTTTCTTGCGACAACCACAACTCGGCTATCGTGGTTGGCGATGGACGCGGGAATTGTCGGATATTCGGCACAGGGGATCCCTGAGCGACTGCAATAGTGAAACCCCTTGTAAGAGTATCTCTTGGGACAGAAACGGATAAGAAATGAAGTAGAAATGGAAAAAGTACTATGACGGTATATGTAGTATATTGTGGGGACCTTGAGGAAAACCTTGGGGACGAATATATATAATGACAGCGTCACAAATTACATTCCTAACTTCGTTACTATTAAACACTTTTCATCCCTCATCTACGACATATCCACCACACAGCGAATGCAGTCGCCCGCCTTCATCTGCTCAAACGCGTGGTTGATGTTGCTCAGGGGCTCCCGGTGGGTGATGAACTCGTCCACCTTCAGGTTACCCGCCAGGTAGTCATCCACGAGGCCGGGGAGCTGGGAGCGACCTTTGATGCCTCCAAAGGCACATCCCTTCCACACGCGGCCCGTGACCAGTTGGAAGGCTGCAGATGTTAGTCTCTCTTTCACCGTTACAACCAAGGCAGAAGAACTTACGACGAGTGGAAATCTCCTGTCCGGCAGCGGCAACACCGATGATGATGCTCTCACCCCAGCCCTTGTGGCACGCCTCCAGCGCAGCCCGCATGACACCAACGTTACCCGTGCAGTCAAAGGTGTAGTCGCAACCGCCGTCGGTCATCTCGATCAGGTGCTCCTGGATGGTCTTGCCGTTGAGCTTAGTGGGGTTGACAAAATCGGTGGCACCAAACTTGCGCGCCCACGACTCCTTACTGTCGTTGACATCCACAACAATGATCTTGCCGGCCTTGTTCTTGACAGCACCCTGGATGACAGACAGACCGACGCAGCCGGCTCCGAAGACGGCCACATTGGAGCCCTCCTCGACCTTGGCGGTGACCACGGCGGCACCGTAGCCGGTGGTGATACCGCAGCCGAGCAGACAGGAGCGGTCGGTGGCGATCTTGGGGGTCACGGCGACGACGGAGATGTCGGCCACCACGGTGTACTGCGAGAAGGTGGAGGTGCCCATGAAGTGGAGGAGGTCCTTGCCGCGGGCCTTGAAGCGCGAGGTACCGTCGGGCATGACACCCTTCCCCTGGGTGGCCCGGATCTTGCCACAGAGGTTGGTCTTGCCGGACTTGCAGAACTTGCACTCCCGGCACTCGGGAGTGCTATCGGAGTTAGCCATCGACCTCGAGTACGTCCTCAGATCCGGCGCAGCTTACTAGAGCGCAACAACATAGTCGCCGGGTTTCACGGAAGTGACGCCCTCGCCGACGGACTCGACAATACCGGCGCCCTCGTGGCCGAGCACGACGGGAAAGGCACCCTCGGGGTCCTTGCCAGACAGGGTGTAGGCATCGGTATGGCAGACACCGGTATGGTGGATCTGGATGCGGACCTCGTGGGCCTTGGGGGGAGCGACTTCGATATCCTCAATGGAGAGGGGTTCGCCAGCGCCCCAGGCGACGGCCGCCTAGCATTAGGAGTCAGGATGGTTAAGATGCGAACAATGGATGTTGAGGTCCTACCTTGCAGGTGATGGTCTGGGAGAGTTAGCTATGACGTTGACGGGAGGGGGAGGGGGGGTCAACATGAGACATACCTTTCCAACCGTGCTAGCCATGGTGAGGAGATGAAAGATGGGAAGGGAGAAGATTGTACAACAGACGGAAGAGCGGAAGGATTGGCGCAGGGAAGAAGAAGTGGCTTAAAAGAGTCGGAGGTGGTGGGGTGAGGGGGAGGGAGGGGGTGGGGGGTGACTGACTAAGGGAGGGGATCCTTCACTCGGTATACGTACGTACGGACGGAGGATAACCACTTTTCCGTCTAGTATTCGGAGAATTGGAGATGACAATGGACTTTCTCCTCGCGCGGAGATATTAATAGAGGAGGGCTTTATGATTGACTTGGCGCGATAGGGAAAGTCTGCAGAGATGAAGTCCCCGATAGAGTAAGCGTTCAGCATACAACTAGCTAAGATAATACTAGTATACTGCCTAGAATGATAGAATACTGTCTAGAATACTGATTAGCATAGGTAATCCTTCTAGATCCTCATTTATCTTCGATTCGATATGAGATTTGCAGAAAAGCAATGCCCGAAACGGCAAACTTTTCCGGATGGCCCGTGCGCCATGACGCCATAAGAGGAAATCAAACGCATCCAAAGCTCCAGAAGCTCCATTCTTATTATTCCCTAGAAAGTAGCCATCTGCAGGGAGAATATACCTTATCTTCACACTCAAGAGAGACAAGTTGGAGTACGACGAGATACGGTCAGATCCATACTGAATTACATCTTCGGACGATGGGTATCTTCAGCTTCATCGTCGGTAGAAGCCCATTACCAGACTACTTCCAATTCTGTAATGGAAATCACCAGGTGCCATTACCAAGTCTATTATACACAGCCCAGCAATCATACACATAAAGAATGGAGACCTTGCACGAAAAACCGGAAAACAACCCACGCAATGCTTACCGACCGGGCATCTGGCCACTCTGCATCATCGCCGCGTTCTGCTCCTGGAACCGTTCGTTCAACCGGGCCGATCCCTTCAGGTACTTGTCGACGCAGCGCATCACGCAGCCTTCTTCACGGGAGATGAGCGACTTGGTGGTGAAGTCGTTGACGCAGTCGTCGAAGCAGCGCTGCACGAGCTTGGAGTACATCTGGGGAGGTCAGTAATCGTCGGGGAGCTGTCGTGAATATCGGTGTGCAACGATCGGATGAGGAACATAGGGCAAGCAATGACAAATCAAGGTGTGTCGAGGAGGATGTTGGGATATCCCTAGGCGATGGACGTACGGTCATGAACTCCTTCAGCTGCTTTCTCTCCATGCGCGCAGCGAACTCGCGCTGTTCCGAGGCGTTGAGTCTAAGGTGGGGTTAGTAAGTTCCGAGCAAGGATACCTTGTACAAAAGAAAATAGCTTACCCTTCCATTGTGATGAGATGGAGTGAGATGGATGGATGGAGTGAATGATAATAATCACCGGGATGGTGTCTGCTTCGGAGCTCCGCAAGTTCTGTTTGGAGTCACGTGACTGTTATCAGGTGAGCTCACCTGATATGTATCACGTGAAGTCAGGTGACATGCATATGCCACTGACTCAGCAGGGATAAAAAAAGAACATCCGCCACCAGGGCCACCAGCATCTGCCATAAACGGAACCGTGGTCCCCTCAACACGCAATGCTCCCCATAATGACTTCTCCATCTCCATCTCCATCTTGTCCAGGGAGGCAAAGGGACGAAGGGACGGATCGGCAGTCATACCCATGGACCGGCCAGGGGGAAGATCCTGTGGTGACAGGGTGTCCGGGGGGTTGTTTCAGCCAGGGATTCGTTATCGACTACGGAGTACTGTCTGGTGCTATTTCGGGAATCAGAGTGATATCGAGATACGGAGGAGGTACTGGACCGTACCTCGTCTCTAGATACCTAATAGTCCATAATGTGGAAGAGGACTGTGCGGTCGATGGTTGAACACAGAGATAGCGGAGGAAAGTCTGCAAGAGGGTCTAGGCTGGATGGAACCTTGGATCTGGGTCGGCAGAACACTATTCTTAGACATTTCCTAGTCTGTGGGTGGTAGACCCTCCATACTACTTCTACTAGGTACAGTAGTAGTCGAAGGAGGCAGACTTGCGTATGTCATAATCTGCAATACTAACGACTCCGTACCTGGATGTACCTCTTTGTAGTCCTTTGTATAGAACACTAGATAATCGAATAATGCGTCAGTCAGGATTCCGGGGTAAAATAATCCCCGACTCCCGTCGAATTACGCCAGCCAGCTGATCGCTGCCTCTAATTAATTATTGCGCCCATACATGCAGAGTCATCCACGGAACCGCAACGGCCTGTCAGCCACTCGTGATCCTCTCATCTCATCTTCTCCTTTCTCTCTCTCTATCTTCTTCCTGTCTCTCTCTCTCTCTCTTCTCCATCCATCCCTCATTACTCTCCATCTTTCTGGTCTTCTTTCCTCCCGAGAACCCGGTTCCAGCGTCTTGACTCTCATCCGCCTATCCTTATTCCGACCCCTTTCGCTCCCCCTTCTGTATCCCTCCCTCCCTCGACCCTCGACCCTCCCTCGAGGTCCTCTCCGTTCCCCTTCATCCTTCATCTTCCATTCCCCGATTCCAGTGGAGCCTCGTATCGAATCCGTCCAGCCTCCCGTCAGCTCCCTTCGTTCCCCCCTCCGACGGCGTCCGCGGCCCCTCCACGCCAGGTCGGCTAGTCCCCAGCCCCGGGATTTCTCGTGCAGTTAGCGGTGACGGTGATCTGGGGTGTCGCTTAGCGCTGGCCTTTTCTCCGACTCGCTTCTCCCTCCTTCCTCTCTCTCTTCCTCGACTCCGCCGCACGTCCTCCGTCATCCGCCAGCATGGTCACCGGCAAATCGCATCCTGCCGGCCCTGAGCCGTTCCAATCCCTCCACCCCGCTGAACCGCCCGTCGTGCCCTCCTCGCCGCCCTCCAAACGCGACCTGGCCTCGTGGTGGCGCCAGTTCAAACGCAATACTCGCAAGGACGAACCGAAAGGTATGTGTGCATGCGACACGGCCGTCCCGATGACCATCGCGATCCCAGCTAACTTCCCCGAAGAAAAACCGCAGGGCATCTTCGGCGTCCCCCTCACCGTCAGCATCAAATACGCCAACGTCGCCATCTCCCTCACCAACGATAACGGCGAGAGTTTCATTTACGGCTATGTGCCGATAGTTGTGGCCAAATGTGGGGTCTTTTTGAAGGAAAAGGGTACGCTCTCTCCGCAGGGAACTTTCCGTCAGCCCGTACTGATCATGTCGCAGCGACGGATGTCGAGGGAATCTTTCGTCTGAACGGTTCGGCCAAACGAATCAAGGATCTCCAGGAGATCTTTGACTCCCCCGAGCGATATGGAAAGGGCCTCGATTGGACGGGGTATACCGTCCATGATGCCGCCAACGTCCTCCGGCGCTATCTTAACCAACTCCCGGAACCGATCGTTCCGTTGGAGTTTTATGAGCGCTTTCGCGAACCCCTACGCACGTATCAGAAACAGGTCCAGAGCCCCGAGCCGCCCGCCGATGGGACCGGGTTTGACCACGCAAAGGCCGTCGCCGCCTACCAACAGCTGATTCGGGAGCTGCCTCCTCTGAACAAGCAGCTCCTCCTATATATCCTCGATCTGCTCGCCGTCTTCGCCTCCAAGTCCGACCAGAACCGCATGACCTCGGCCAACCTGTCGGCCATCTTCCAGCCGGGACTCCTGTCACATCCGCAGCATGACATGTCGCCCGATGAATACAAGCTGAGCCAGGATGTGTTAATCTTCCTGATCGAGAACCAGGACCACTTCCTCTTCGGCATGAACGGCACCGCCGCCGATGAACAGACGGTCAAGGAACTCGAGGGCGGGGGTTTGACCCCCCGACCGTCGAATCATTCGAACATCCGACGCTCCGTCTCCAGCGCCAGTGCCGGCGCGGACAGCTTTCGCAAGTATGACAGCCTCCGTCGGAATGTCTCCGTCTCCTCTAAGACCTCACGCCAGTCCAACACGCCCAGTCCCGCCACGCCCACCTCGTTGGGCGGCGTGGGGGTACATCGCAGCAACACGCTCCCCTCCAAGATGCGCCCAGCCATGCATTATGGCCGGGTAACGGAGTCGACCGGGGGCACCACCCCGAGTCGTACGTCTGCACAGCACTCGCGGTCATCCACACCGCCCCCGGCCGAGCAGAAACCCCCTTCTGCGGCCCATGGGGTCGTCCCTGCGACCGGGCCCCTTTATACTCACGATGCCAAACATGGGCCCCAACCGAAGAGCCCAAACTCGACGCCAGTCGTCGCCCCTGCTCCCTCTCCTGCCCCTGCTTCTGCTCCTGCACCTGCACCTGCACCCGCTCCCGCTCCCGCTCCCGCCTCCGCACCGACTCCGCAGGCTGCTCCCGATAAACCAGTCTCAGAAGCCCTCGTTCTGCCTCAGTCTCCCCCGCCCGCGGTGACTCCCACCAAGGAACGGAAGCTGTCCAGTCTCTTCAGCAAGTCACCACCCAGTGGGGAATCCAAGGAACCGCGCCAGCCCAACCGGCTGAAAAAGAAACGCATTCCTGGTAGCGCTAGTGAGAGCGCACAGAGCTCTGCACAGTCCCTCCATGGGCCGCCTGCCGACCTTGCTGCCACTTCAGCTTCGTACTCTCGATTAGATGTTAGCGAGAGCGGAGGAGCTACTCCCAAGGCGCCGACCCCGGATGATCCGTCCCAGACGGACCCGAAGAACGACAAAACCGGCCCCAACGAGGCCGGCCACCATGATACCTCCCTGCGGCCATATGGCTCGCGGACGCCGTCGATGAATTCGCGCTCGTCCTTTACCGATTACTCGGACGTTGACCCGCCAGACGAAACGTCCCGGTCGGACCGCAAAGAGCAGCGTCGCAGTTGGCGCTTCCACCGGTCCAAACAGAGCAACGAACAGATGGGTTTGGGCCTAGGGTCTCCGCCCCTTCTTGCCTCCAACCCCGGAGCCGATCGTAGCACTAGCTCGATTGGACACCACTCCAGCCGTAGCTCCCCCTCCGACCCACAGCTTCACGATCCCGCGCACCAACCGCTCAGCCTTGATGCGGAGGTGAACAACACCAAAGAGTCTCCCCCGACGGAGCCCGAAAAGCGCAGCCTCTTCGGCAAGTTCAAAGCCAAGGTGGCCCAAGTGCGGGACGGCGTGAAGGAGTCGAGTGAGCGCGACCGCACGCGCAGCCCCGTGCAGCCAGATGCGGAGAAGTCGGCTTCCAGCCAGACTCTGTCTCCTCCGGGACAGGACAGCCTGAGTAACCGACCGGCCCCGATCGACGTGACCCGGGACAAGGAAGGACCGCAGGCCAGTTCTCCAGTGTCGCCTCACACGGGGTCCGGACTGCCACCGGCGATTCCAGAGGAACCCCGCACACCAGACAGTCCGGTCGCGACGGGCTCGAAGGCGGCCAGTCCAGAGGTGGCCAAGGTTGCAAAGGACATCGCGCCCCAACCCACTGAGGCGGAGGGCACTGGCACGGATGGTGCCAAGCCAAAGACGACAGAGAGCACTGCAGGCACAGGGACTCTGCCGACGTTTGAATCGCACCAGGGGGATATCGAGACGGAGAAGTTCCTGGACAACTGATGTGTGAGATGGAATGAATGGAGATGATATGTAGTGGAGGGAATTCTTATGTCAGCGTTGCTTCCATACCCTGATGCATTATGGTTACGAATGATGTTGGATAGAATACATGCCTTATGCTTCCATGCACTTATACTAGTAAACATAGTGAATAGACATGGTATAGTGGTACTACGTACGTAGTGTGGAGAGAATGCGCCCCGAAACAGGCAACTTGACACCTCAGGCATCACAATCTCCGGACCTCCGCCAAAAACACTTCACCATCTCAACTTCACCTTCACCTTCAACCTCCAACAACCCAACACATCAATTCCCCCAGACACCATGTCGTCCCCAGCACAACCCCCTCCCCCTCCCAAATCGCCCCCTCCGACAACCATCCAACCCACCCAACTCGCGCAGACCTACGCAACCGTCCACCCACTGCTCCTCCTCTCCCTGCTCGCCGCCCGCTTCCACGCCCTGATCGCCGACCCCGTCGCCGAGCTCACCAACGCCCTGCCCCTGCTCGCCGTCCTGCAAGTCGCCTATATGACCATCTGCCTCCCACCCGCCGGCGAGGACCACGCCCATCACCCCGACGAGAAAGACCGCGAGGCAAAGAAATCCATCCCAGCCGGCATGGTCCTGCGGCCCGGGAAACCGGGGTACCGGCGGCGGGCGAACGCCTCCTCGTCAGGGAATGCCGTCATGGCCAAGGTGATTGTACGTTGCATTGCAACCCATCAGCTTTCCCGGTGCCTTCCACACCGGGATACAACCGGCAGATGATATGGGTATAAGTGAACGACAAGCTAACAGAAACCGTGCCAGCCCTCCCTCCTCAGCCTAACATTGACCACCCTCCTCGCAACCCCCGTCCTCGCCCTGTGTCTCGTGCTCTTCGGCGCCCCCGTGACAACCCACCACGCCGAGACGGCGCTCTGCGCCGCGCACATGGCCGTGCTGGCTGCCACCGCGCTGATCTACACGCACGGCGTCGACGGCGCCGTCTGGAAGGAGGTCTGGGGCGCGTCTCGCCCGGCGGATGCGGTGTGGGGGGCGGCGTTGGGGACGTGTGTTGGTGCGTGGTTGGGGGCTATTCCTATTCCGCTTGATTGGTATGTTCCCTACCTTTTCGTTTTCTTTGGGGTTGTGTTGGGTGTGTGCTGATGGTGATGGCAGGGACCGCCCGTGGCAGGCGTATCCGATTACCATTCTTACCGGCGCGTATATCGGCCACTGTGTGGGCAGTTTTCTGGGTCGCTCGCTGCTGTTTGGGAAGAGGCTGGTGCTGGTGCCGGGGCCTGCGCCTGCGCCAGTTAGCTCGTAGCCGTCGTTGGCTGCGTCTGGCTGGTGTACGGTGCTATTCTATGCCTATATTTTTTTCTGCGAGGGCGGTCATTAAATTTGATTGTATAGCATCCAGCGCTACTGTATAATAGAAATAGGTCTAGTCGTAATAAAGTCAAGTCAAGAAGCTATATCATCCCTCCCACCTCCACCCGCCGCGTCGACTGCCACCGCGAGCGAAACCCCGCCGACGACCCCTCCGTCTCATCGCTGGCACTGCTCTCATACGGCGACCGCGTCGACCGCCCAGCAGACCCCGACCCTGACCCTGACCTTGATTCCGCTGTCGGCGCCGACCGCAGCCTCAGGAACTCGCTCGACTCCGCACTGCGACTCGGGTACCTCGACGTCGAGCCCGCGCCTCCGCCCGCCCCGGGCCCGGGCCCGGACCCCATCGCCAGCCGCTGCAGCGCCTGGATGTCCTCGCGCAGCGACGAGACCTCAGACTCGAGCGTACGCCGGGCCGTCTGCTCGCGGCGCAGCAGCATGACCAGCGCGCTGTACTGCTCGACGGAGATGCCGGCGCCGTCGTTGAGCGAGGTCATGGAGGGGGTGTGCATCATGCGCGGGCGGGCGTATGCGCTGGAGTGGGTGGGGGTGGGCGTCGTGCTGGGGCGGATGGTGCTGGCGCTGAGGCGGTTGTCGGCGGGGTCTTCGCTGGGGGTGGTTGTGCCGGAGGCGGACGGGCGGGGGCGGTGTTTGGGTTCGGGCTGTTGGGGCTTGGGGACGCGGTCTGGGGTGGGCGAGGGCGAGGACGGGCGGCCGCTTTGCATGCGGGCGATGGCGAACTCTAGGTCGATCATTTTCACCTCGAGGGTGGTGAGACGCTGCGCGAGCGAGACGTTGTCGGTGTCGTTGTCGCCTTGCATGGCGACGAGCGTGCCGACGTCTGGGGGGATGACGACGCTCTCGGCGTCGTCGGTGTCGGGGTCTGTGTCAGTGTTGATGTCGGGTTTGCTTGGGACGGCGTCGTAGATGGACGCGGTGGACGGCTTGGGCGCGCTGGCGACGGTGGTGCGCGTGGGCGGGCGCGGCGAGAGCTCGCTGTCCGACGCGACGGTCATGGTCATGTAGGACTCGAGGCTGCGGCGGCGCCACTGGATGGGCGACATGCGGTGGTTACGGGCGAGGCCGCGGAGCGCGGTGGCACTGCGCGAGCGGCGCTTCATCTGGCGGCGGGCATGGTGGTGGTGGTCGTCGTCGATGTCGTCGTTGCTGCCGTGGTGCGGGTGCACGACGGCGTCCAACGCGTCGCGCGATTCGTCGTCGCCGTCGGAGAAGATCAGGCTGGGGAGGGTGGCGCGGCGGCGACGTGGGGGTCCGGCGTGGAGTCGGTCGAGGGCGTCGCTGAGGGAGATCGAGGCGTCGAATTCATTGTTCAGGGGAGAGCTGTGTTTGGAGCTGAGGGAGTTGTGGAAGGCCAGGCCGCTGTCCGGAGGAGGGTCTTTCTGTACCCGCTGCGGTGGGGGATTGCTAAAGCGGATGTCATCGTCGAAGCTGTCGGTCTCACTGCGGCGCTTGCGGGTGAAGATCTTGCGCATGACAGTCTTGATGGTGCTCCCTGTTCGTCGGTGGGAGCTGGCGCTGCGGGCCACGACCGAGGGCATGGATTCGGGGGTTAACCCCAGCGCAGCAGCGGCCTTCTGATTGCCACGGAAGCCGCCCATTACGATGGACGATTCGGAGCCACGGACGGCACGACGGGTCGCCGTGGTGGTGACGAGCTGTTTGGAGCTCATCGGGGGGAGGGCCGTATCGAGCAGGTCGGCGGAGCCATCGGAGACATGAATCTGCGCGGAACCGGTGCGGCACCTGTTGACACCAGCCATTTTGAGGCGTTGGTATCAGAGAAAGATCATGCAGGGGAGCTAGAAGGGAGCGACAGGAGAACTGGATGGTCAGCTGCGTTCAGGAGCAATCCGGGGGTTATAGCCAGCTACCTGGGAGACCGCGAGGTCATCACCGGCAAACAACAAAAGACACAACGGGTATCACGAGAAGGAAATCAAACGAGAGACATGGCGTTTGCCGAGCAAGGAACGTGAGAGGGTCGGGAATAAATTGAAGAAGAAGAAAAGAAGGCCGGCAGAAGATGATCTGGATACAAGCCAAGTGGGCCAAGTCGGGAGTCAGTGCGCGTAGTTTCAGGGGGATTTGGAATTCGCAACCGGTCGAGCAGCGATTATCAGAAGGAGTATTTACTAGATTCAGCATTAGTGCAGGTCTTCTTCTTCCCTGCTGGCCTGCTCCACTGAATGGTCATCTTGCTCCGTCTCGTCAGCTTCAACTCGGTGGTTCTTTGTATAGCATCAGTGGGCCCATGAAACACTCTGACAGGGGCGCCGGGCGAACTCCACCGGCGGTTCCATGGTCTTATCGAGGGCTACTGGCACGCCGTCGGGGGCAGATGATATCTATCGTTGTATTTCCGGTCTGTCTGCTGTCTGTGTTGGGCTGCTGGCTGTCTGGTCCATCCGCAATGCATGTTGTATCAGGCTATTCCTGACGCCCTCCAAACGTGCCATCGTGCATTATGCATCGTGTTCGAGATCGTGAGGGGAACGGCATGCTCGGAGATTCTGAAACACTGCGGCACCCCGCTACAACTAGAAGTCCTGGTGAACCGGTGTTACTCGGCTGCCGATGGCGGATTGGGGTCCGCCTTCGACGGCGTGTATCAGATCCAGCGATCGCGGCCTGTCAACAGGGATCACTATGCGGCCCCGTTGTTCTGGCCCTAGACTCGATCAGAGGCTCTCTCCTCCCGGTGAGTCTTGGTCTATGATGGGAGAAGGTAGGTCTGTCTACAGCAGCTCGCCCGCGTCAGGATACCGCAGGTCGGCATGCTCTTCAAGAAACTCCATCCAGCGCTTGAGAAATCCGCTCCCTCTGCGAGAAATTAACCTCGATTCCAACAATGTGGATATCGTGGGATGCCAACTCACCGACTGATGGTCTCGGAGTCTCCGCAGACGCAGAGATGCCGCTTGGGCCGTGTCATGGCGACTGCATCGCATTAGAACGGAATAGTCGTGAAGAGGGTCCAAACATACCGTTCAACCGTCGTCTCTCGCCGAGAAATCCCACCTCATGCTTGCTGTTGCTCCGCACCAGACTCACCACCACTGCTTCTTTCTCCCGGCCCTGGAACCCATCCACACTGCCCAGCTCCAGGCCCGGGTACTTCTCACGTAGCATCTGGGACAGCACCGCCAGCTGTCCGTTGTAAGGCGTAATCACGGCGATGTCTTCAGGCCGCACGCCCGCCTGCACCAGCGCGTCCACATGTTTCCCCACTACTAACGCCTCCATCTCGTTGCTCTTGCTCTCGCCCAGCAGCGCCTCCTTCTGCCCGACTTCGTTGTCCTCCGTCTTCTCTGGAAAGTCCCCGCCCTGCGTGTCCCAGAAGACCACGGGCTCCCGCGTGTCGTCCGTCTCCTGCACCTCATACGGTAGATCCTTCAGCAGCCGCGCTTTCACGGCGTCCGCCGCCATCAGCCGCCCCTCGTAGAGCTCGTCCGACGGGAACCGCATGATGCGCTCGTGCATACGGTACTGCGTCGTGAGCATGCGTTTGATGGCGGGCCCATGCATTGCCAGCAGCCGGTCAAACATGGTCGTCTCCAAGGAAATCCCCCGAACGACGTCCGCGTCCCCTTCCGCGGCACCGTCTTGGGGCGGCGCATCGCCCGCCTTCGACTTGACCGTCGGCGGCAGCTGTAGATGGTCACCGGCGAGGACGACCTTGGGCGCCGTCAACAGCGGAATCCAGCACTGCGCCTCGAGCGCCTGACTCGCCTCGTCAATCACCACCACATCAAACTTCTGATTGCGCAGCTGGTGCCCACCAGCGCCATGCAGCGTCGCTAGCACCACGCTGCTCCCGCGCACCAGGTTGTCCACGCACCGCGCCTCGCGCTCGCGGAACTCCCGCCGCAGCTCCTTGATGTCCTGGTAGATGGCGCGCTTCTCGCGCCCAAACCGCGTCTTGCGGATGCTCGCGTGCTTCTCGTCCATCTCGCGCCGCACGTCACGCACAATCGCCGCCGCCTCCGACGTTTGCGTCAGCACCTCGAGCGAGTGGTCCAGCACGGACGGCAGCAGCCGCGCCGGATGTCCGATGCGCACTACCGAGACCTCCTTCGGCGCCAGCCGCTCGACAATGTTGTCCACGGAGATGTTCGACGGCCCGCACACGAGCACCCGCTGGCCGCGCCGCACCAGCTGCACGATCAGCTCGATCAGCGTGTGCGTCTTGCCCGTGCCTGGTGGCCCGTGGATCAGCGCGACGTCCGGTGCCGCCAGCGCAAATCGGATCGCCTCTTTCTGTGAGTCGTTCAGCGTTTCGTCTTCGAAGTCGACGTTTGTCTCGGGAGGAGGCGCGAGCGGCGTCGTGTGTCCGAAGGCGACGCGCATGAAATGCGTCCAGTCGGATTCGGTCATCTTGGCCATCCGTTCCATCGTTTGGTTCATCCTGTCATCCCTGTCAGCTATCCATCCTCTCTCTATCAAGACGGGCAAGTAACTCACCGCCGATACGTCACGTCGTTTGCAAGCTTGATCCTGCAAACGCAACCATTAGCCACCTCCTGTACATCTCCCGGACAAGGCATTCAAAGAGCTCACAGCCAAACTTTCTTCCCCCAAAGCTCCTCCACAGCCTCGTCGTCCTCCTTCGCCTTCCCACCCCCCTGCTGTCCAAACGCAACCCACACCCCCCGTTCACCAACCCGGGTTACCACGCCCTCAGGTCCTCCGCCACCACCGCCCTTCCCCTCATTCTTCTCCTTGTCTTTGTCGCGACTGCTCCCTTTCTCCTTCTTCCCGGGGCCACCAATCTCGTTCACCCGCACGATGTCACCGACGCGGATCCCGTGCGCGGCCAGTCGCGGCTCGTCCCCGGGGGTATCAGACTTCACTGCGACAGCAGGGTCGGCGCCAAACTCGCCAACCAGGCGTCCGCCGAGACCGGTGCGGCATTGATTTAGGATCAGGCCGGTCAGCGCATAACCGGTTGCTTGGAGGGTGCGGCGGGTGGAGGGGGAGACGGAGGCGGCGGTGCTAGCGAGTGTGGACGAGGAGACTTCTGCTTCGTGTTCGCGGAGAAGGAGGGATTGCTGGGTTTGAGCGAAGAGAGGGATTGGGATCGGGGTTGGGGGTGACATTGCGGTGTTGCTGGTATAGTCGTGGTGGTGGTGGGAGAAATAGGATGATGTCAGGCAGTTTATTTACGTTCGGAATTAAGGGTATGTCCGGTTAGTCAGCGTCTACCCAACTGTATCTACTACCAAAAAATAGAGGTAAGTAGAACAAGACTATTAAATAGGCATTAGAATCCTAAGAAATACATAGAATTTAAGGCATCACAGATGCTCTGCAAGCTGAAAAGCGCCGCATGCAATGCAAAGGCCTAACGCCATCAATGCTGAATCATATGCTAGTTAGTAGAAGATGAAGGCGACGGCTTCTCGCCGATAAATGGCAGACTGCGGATGATGGACCGGTCGGCGCAGGGCCCCATGACGGCAGATTCGGCCTCCTTTTCAAAAGCCCTGTCGCTGGCGAGGTAGACGCGGAAATCGCGCAGGCCGCGTAGGTCGCTGAACGACTTGACCAGCGTCCGCATGAGCCGGTGGGATGCGGTGGAATACGGGTTCTTCTGGCTCAGGTCCACAATGGTGACGGAAAGACGCGAGATGTCAAAGTGTTCGCGGATAAAGCGGCGGAGGATAGCCCACGAGACCAGCACTTCGTCGTCGGGCCTGGTGTACCGCGCGCACCAAGCAAAGGGGAATTTGAAGGTGAGATGGCCCATGTAGGCGAAGGAGGCGGTGGGAATGTAGTGGAGAATGCGCATCATGCTGTCGGGATTCCCGTCCACAAAAGCGAAAGTGTTCTGTGAGAAGAACACTCGGCGAGCGTCTTCGTAGAATCCACGACTGACCAGGAAGTAGTTCACCGGAGAGGTAAAGCAGGAACAGGTGGTGGAGTAGGCGGTTTGGCGTGTGGAACAGAAACACATGGCACGCATCGGGGAGCAGGTCCCGCAGCATGTCAGACACAAATTGCTGGTTCTATGACGCCGGCGATCCTGGAAGGTCACGACCCCATGAGTGTTTTTCAGATCCTTGCGGGGTTGAATATACGGATCGTGACTATTTCCCAGGAGATTCTCGAGGATTATGAGCTGGACTTCCTTTGGAAGGCGGGAGAAAGGGAAGGAAGGCTTGTCCAGGTTGTCGGTCAGTCGCCAAACAGCTCGCCTGACCACAGGGTAGATGTCATCATCCTGCTGGTGGTTGAGCCAAATGGCGCAGCGGACCAGAGGAGGGAATGGATCCATAGCGGAGATCAACTTGGTTGCGACCTCGAGGTCCTTGACTCTGCACTTGAGGCTAAAGTCCACAAGGTTTGGCATGTTCTCCGCGGCCTTCTTGCAGAAGTCGGCCCACAGTCGCATGACGGTACGATGAACACCCGGGCCCATCCTCAAAGAACGATGTTCGCGCGGGCCCAGGTCGACATAGAGATACCGCAAGTGCTCGAGCCCCCAGCCGAACGAGTTGCAGAAGATCTTGTAGTTTGACTTGTGGTGGAGTAACACACTGAATTGATTCCGACTGAAGAACAGACGGCCAAGTTCCTCGCGAGCAGCCTTGGAAGCCAGGAACACTCCAACAGGCAGAGGATCTAAATTCTGGCACACGTGGCGGGGAGGAAGAAGGTACGTATGAAACTGGCCTTTCGCCATGCGAGTTGGAGGGGGTCGGCGGTAGCTGACCAGGCCTTGGTTGAATCTGACGTTCTCGAAGGAGACATCGATGAGGTCTGGTTGGAGGAGACCTGCGTACTCGAGAATCTTGATCTTGATGTCCTCGGGGAGGTCGAGGAAGGTGACCCTGGGCGCACCACGGATCTCCGTCTCCACGAGTTCCGCATAATCTCCCATATCCACATCGGAAATGCTCTCGTTGTCATGAATGCACATGGCTGAAGGGCCAGGGATATAGTCAGGGTCCTCCAGTGGATTGTCAGGGTCGACAATGGCCATGTCCCAATCGAGGAAGGCCGCAAAGGCCGCGTCGTCGAGCATGAGGTCTTCCATCCTGGTCTGGAAGGTCGTTAGAAAGAGGGGACTCGAGGTGGGATATGGAGGGGCCCTACGCGTAGTGGGAAGTCGTACGGACGCGCCTTTCAGACACTCAAAGCTGGCTTCTGTTGGTCATGGAGAAGAAGATGTTGGTGATGAAGCTGTAGAGGTGTAGGATAGGACGAGGGAGCACAGGAAGGTCGAGGGAGGGAGCGGGAGAGAGAGGGGGAAGAAGGTGGAAGACCTGGAGGAGGAGAGAAGAAGAAGAGGAAGAGAGAGAGAGAAGAGAAGAGGAAGAAGAAGGACGTCACGAAAGATAACGTAGTGAACGAGCATCACGACAAGTACAAGGAACCTTCCTTCCAGCAGGCGAGGATGCCTGGGGCACTCCACCCACCTACTCCCCCTCCATCTTGATCGCGACAACACCCACATTTTCCTCTTCTGCCTCTTCCTTCTTGCTCGTCTTCGCCGTCTTCTTCGCCAGACCCCGGATCTCGCTCTTGCACAGCTTGGTCCCGGCCAAATCGCACTCGCCACATCGTCGTCCCACGGGCAAACACACCGTCTGGCCCAATCCCACCAGGAGCTTGTTGATTTCATGCCATTTATCCTTGGGGAGCCACGACTCCAGCGCCATGCGCGTCTCCTCTGGGTTCTTCGTCTTATGCCAGCCCCAGAGATTCGTGATCCGGTGAACATGGACATCAACCCCAATGCCTTCGTGCTTGCCCCACGCCGCACTCATACACAGAAACGCCATCTTGGGCCCGACACCCGGCAGCTTCATCAGCTCTGACGCAG